ATGAACCAAATGACACCTTTAATCCAAGTCAAGAAAACACAAACCGCAACTGGCAACACGCACAAAAACATTTAGTCACATTTCAAATTATTTTGACTGGAAACTTCTAGATGAGGTAAAGAGAAATGAGATGGTATATTCCAAATCTAAGTAATGATTGTTAGCATAGTTCACAAGAGAGTTATCCAGATCAGAATCACTCATTAATAAAGCCATTGGAATTGACTAAACCAGTTGGATTGTAACAGCAGAATTATGAACTGCAGAGAATAATGAAAGATATTTTAGGAACTACATTCATTACAAAAAACATTAATTATATCAAACTAACATTAAAAGAAATTAAAACCATTGCTGATAGCACATCCAGAATTTGGGATTAATTTTGGAACAAAACACCTACCTTCTCTACAAAATCAACACCTTTTTTAAGTGGTTAGAGACTACTTTCTACCCTCACCCTTTGTCTCTCTCTATATTTTTCCTCTCTATCTTATATAGTGGTGGGCAGCAAATATTATAATAATAGCATCTCCTACCATTTTTAATGGTCATCGTCACAGGCTTCATTTTTATCTTCTTCACTTGACTTTTCCTCCTCATCCCTCTGTGTTCTCATTTTCTGAGGCTGTCAAAAATTGGCTAGACTTGATCAAATTGGCCACTCTAGTCAAGAATCAATTTCTACTACAAACCGAGACATTGGCTAATAACAATAGATTTATTCTGAACATATACCAAGAAAATTCAAACATATCATACCAGAATCAGCCAATATCATGAAAAGTTACTATATACAACTTCAATTTTATCACAAATTTGCCACAGACCGGTCATCTCAGATCAAGAACCCAACAAGCCTAGTCCAACTGGAGGAGAAAACCAATGACATGGGTTTAATTGGTTTTTAGCTTTCAAATAGGCTTTGAGCCAACACTCAGCATGGCCACTGGCACATACCAGTCTAGCAGTCAACCAATAAGGATGGTACCCAAGATATAAAAATTTCAAAACAAGGGAGAATCAATAATTGTCACAACAGAACTGGATAAGGCAATTAGTGTCTATACTAGGAAAGAAAGAGCACAATCTGTTTGAAATATGTGCAAGCAAAAGTTCCTAATAGAAATAATTATTGAAAGGCTGAAATTGTGAAACCGGTTGTTGCTGCTTAAAATTGACAAAGAAATCCGTAACATTTTATTTGATTCATATATTATTCCCAGTAAATTGAAGATGAATAACATAAGAACGAAAAGATAAAGAGTCCAGAATCAGACAGTGATAAAAACATGCTGGTCATGAGCCATAAACAACCACTGGATATGACTACATCACAATAATACCTTATGTCACATTATTCCATTGAGGAAAATAACCATCAACTGACACAATGACAAATGTAATCTAAAACACAACTAACGTAGCAACAAAAATAAAGATTAGCCATCCATAAGCGTCGTAGCACAAAGTAAAACAATCTAATTCTTATAAAATAAGCAAGGAAATTGTTCTTTTCAAAGAAGACTACAGTACAGACAAGTTCATTTCACGAAACACAGATCTGAAAATCTCCCGCTGAACGTCAGCTAGGCTACAAGGGATAGGACAACAGTAGTATTTATATGCATCATGAATAGTTGCACAAGATTAAATATTAAAAAAAGTGAAGAAAATCCAAAAGATGCAGACCAGGGATAAAAGACGTCATCCTTCGTACTCATAAACAATATAGTACAAGCATGAGTCATGATATTGATGTTCAAACTCCCAGAACATGTAAAAAAATGTTAATACTTTTTGAGCTGCTGATCACAAGGACCTAGATAAAACTTCTTTTTCAATGTACCAGCCCTTTTGTTATGTGATATCTTTGCCTAGCTTCTCAACAGCTGAAAAATGACATCCAGCAATTAATAGTACAGTTGCTGTTAGCTATTTGCTGTCATCCCTAAAAAGGGTAAAACATACATATATGTCCACTAAAAGGTTATCCACATCTCATAGCATCAAACACCTAGGGCCAACAATTAAACAGTGAATGTAGACTTGTGACCATGCATAAAAAATGGTTCGAGTCCTGAAGAGTCATGAAAGACAAGACAACTGAGGAGAACCATCCCTAAAGGAATTTGAGCATAGCCATTAGGTAGTAACTGATACTCCTAACGGATAGTATGACATATTAGTTTGATAGAATAATTTTCTGCATAGATGACATGACAAACGATAAAAATTGTCATTCCTAAGCTTGAACAGGCATGCAGAACACACGTGAACTTCCAGACTGATCTAGTTGAGTGGAAAACGTGACAAAGATATGGCTTGCAAAGTGAACAATGGAGATCATTCTTGTTCATATTAATAGAAACAGATAATTTAGGGTTTTGCGGTCAAACAATAGATTATATTTCGCTTCCTAAAGTGTAAACCCCCTAAACTCTAACAAAGATTCAGTATGAGCAGTGTTCCCAGCGAGTCCATCTAAAGCTATCTCACAGTTGCGATCACGATAATACCAGGGGAAAAACAATCTTGCCAAAAATTACCCCCAAAACCCTATTTGAACAACTAGGAACCCTGTACAACACAGGTATCAAAACCTTAGACAAAAAAAGTGTAAGAAAATCCTGAACTATCGATGTCGAAATCATACTTTCCAGGACAAGAAATTTCATCAAGTTCATCAGCGATAAAACCCACAATTTTGCAGTGAACAGCCAATCTTTTTTCAAGATTCTAGTTTAGCACACTAGATCTAGAGACGCCTCCTAAACCCCCATCTGAATGCCCAGAAGCCCTCGACATCAAAACAGGTACCTACCCAAAAATCAAGAATCAAGGAAAAAGAATTCCAATGAAAGATAAAGAAAAGCACCTCGGATTCGAGCTTAGTGATGTAGGAAATCAGGGCGGCCTTATCCCTCCTCTTCACACTCTCCTCGTCTAAGCCTGATTCCTTGAGTCTTTTCCAGATCGCGTCGTCCCCAAGCGGAGTCCCCCCGGTCGCGGGCGTCTTGGAGGCATTCACGGCCCGAGAAGCTGGCGTCCCTCCCGGCCGTGGGCTCGTCATCTCGACGGCGGACGGCGATGGGAGCTAAACCCTAGATCCGAGTGACGGAGGAGCCGGACGCGTCGCGAGCGAGAGAAAATGAAAGATCGATTGAGTGGACTCGGGAGGACTCCCCCACCGCTTTTTGCTTTCACCTTTTGGCGTTTTATCATCTCATTTGGGCTCCGTAGAGATGGAAATTGAGTCTTACAGAGAAAGCTTTGTCCGGTCCAACTCGGCCGAGTCGGATCCCTAGCTTTCCATCTTGAGACAGCAGTGAGGTTACCTCCCGGATGACACTAATCCTCGCCTACCTTCCATTGGTTGGTTTCCTCAGTGGGCACCACATAGAGTCATCGCATGCTTCGAATGATAGAGAAGGTAAGCAAACCGCGCGAGACATCGCAGGTAAGGCCTACGATTATTTTCTAGCTTACTCACCGGCATACCTGCTCGATGGTTGGCTGTTTTAACGTTTCCGCTAGCGGGACCCGTGGCTCATCTGTTCGTGAGACGGGTATCGTCGATCGGACCGAGTTCGGGTTGGGTCTATACAACCGGGAATGGGATCGAACAACGATGCCAACGTTCGCACGCGAGTCACATTTGAATGCTTTTGAAAGCAAGGCATATTTGTGTTGTGGACCAAATCCAATGCCAGTTGGATTACATGGGCTCCGACGGAAGCGAGTGTAGTTAAATAGCCTCGTGAATCGGGCAACTCAACGATTTAGCTTGATCCAGCGGTGTCCACGACCATTGTACCATTAGACAGCGCGAGAGGGGTTGCACCTGATGCCTTCATTTCACTACACCGCTCCTACTGCACGGAGAGGTCAAAATAGAAACAAATTTGAAAACCGGATGAGGTGGCGGATGGACGCCAATGGCTTGTCATTGTTTGCTGTCTTGAGGCGAACTTTGGATGCTTCTTTTGACCGTACTATCACGGTCAAAATCACCCAAAATAATAATATTATCCTTCATTTTTCCTAATTTGATATTTTTTGCCTAATAAAACAAAATCATACCCTGATTATTCCCAACTTGAAAGTGAATTTTTTGTGTCTGATGATGTATAGATTTAGATTGATCTATCCTTCTATTGTGAACTTATCATGAGTGTTCTTTTTTTTTCATAAGTCTTAATTTTATCTTCCTATTTCAATTCATTTCTAAATTCACCAATGTTCCTTTTAACATAAATCTTAATTTTATCTTTTTATTTCAATAAATTTCTAAATTCACGAATGTTCCTTTTTTCATAAACCTTAATTTTACCTTCTTATTTCAATTAATATCTTTTTGAAAATTTTCTGAATCCATTCAGACCAATTCAGGTTCCAGTGGGGCTTCCAATTACTGTGGAGTTGTAGCTGTTCCATGGACCACAAAGTCACACTATTATAATGCAATAACAGATCATAGGAAAGGAATCCCACAAACTTGAGAACACACTGGCATCATTAGATATCCACAGTGAAGTGGAAAGTGAAGCTGTACACCACACTAAAGTGTAAGCAGTGGCTATGATGACAGATTTCCATGACTTTGCCATGAAAGCTTTCTTCTCAACTAGTGCTACTTCCCTTTTCAAAGTTATTAGGACCCCAAAGCTAAAGCTAAAATACTGAGAAGAAATGATTGCTCTAAATAATATAACATGGACCACAAAAGGCATTATATCAGTGCCTCGGATCGATACATATCGATCCGAACTTACCAATATCAAAATGTGTATATCAAGACTGGTACACATCTCATAAAATCGATATTGGGCATTTAAAACCTTGATCATGACTAACATGAAAAATATGCATTAGAAGAAGAGCTGGTCCAAGTTTCCTTACCATCGAGTCTACCTGAGTTCTATATCATCACATCTGAATTAGCACTAAGAACGCATCATAATACCAAACCCTACATACATTCCAGTTCATGCAGCACAGACAGGAACAAACTAAATGTCACTTTATTGGTTACACTGCATGCAGTCTAACAAAGTCTACAGTGACATCATGTAGACGGTGACGTCGTGGCCGTTTCAGTTCTTTTATAAGTTTTAGAGATCATTGGAACTACAATATATAGTAGGATGCTTTCTCCTGATAATAATCATATAGCCAACCTTTGATAAGATTGATTTCTGTATTCCTCTGTTCCACTAACCAGTCAGGATCCTCCTTGGTTGAAGCACGCAGATCGATATGATGCGCCCCTGAGAAACCAATAATCCCTTGTAAAGAGAACTTTCTGACCGGAGAACTAATAGACGCAAGCCAGGAAAGAGATTACCTAGCTCGGTTACAAGTGCTATGATACTCTCGGATACGTTCTGCAAAACACTGGAAAGCACAATGAAAGAACAGTCAAGCTCATACACGATAAAAGTATAGACACAACATATAAATTGCAAGGAAAATCAGATGTCAAGTGCTTTACCTGCCACCACTCCAAGGATCCAATAATCCATTTGAGAAGATGATGTTACTGCCAAATTTCTTCAATGCCGTCTTAATATCCTTTCAAAATGGGGTGGTTGACAGATTGTCATTAAATTTGATCAAAAGTAGCGATTGCTCATTCACTAACAAAATTTCTCGACGTAGTAAGGTTCATAGCCGTGTAAAATAACTTAAAAACAATACTGAAAATGTTAAGACTAGCATAAATGTCATCATAGGAAGTACATAGTCATGTAGTACCTCCACAAGCTATTCACGTGAATTAGCTAATGGAAAGTCATACAGCCAGCTGAAGCATCATGAGGAAACTATAGTTTGCCTTTCCTAGATTTTACCACAACCATCACGATCTCAGTGAAAGTAGATATGATTTGTAGCCATGTTTGGGCAGAAAATCTACTTTTACAACTTATCATCAGATTACAAAATTGACTTACGTGACCCCCAAATTCAGTTGTGATCCATCGAGGCCTTGGTCTGACACCATAATCCTGTAAACACTGATCTTGATATGCAGCATAATCAAAATCATATGCTGGAAACATGCTATTCTCTTGGCTGCTCGACATAGGCATAACCATCTCCGTGCAAGCCTGTTAATAATTAAAAGGAAGACAATTTATACAAAGATCATGGACTTTCATGTAGGACATTAAAACACAATACACTGGAGCACTTATATACCTGCCAGTTCCAACCACTCAAACCATGAGGGTCATCCTCCAAGTCAAAGCAATCGACATTTCCTGTGTAGTTGTAATAGATGCTTACTCCAGCGAAAATGCGTTCCAAGACAGTAGTTCCATCAAGATAATTATCAATTTTTCTGCATACCTAGAAAATTGGGAAACATAAATGAAAACAAAAAAATAAAATCAATTATAATCAATTATATGCATCACAACCATATATACCACTACCATATGTTGGTCATTCACTTCATGATATTATTATGCCCCTATATGCTTCCCTTCAAGGATCAGCAAATTGGGCAGACAAAAACATGGCCCATCCGGAACGTATCGGTCTGCCTGTGGAGAACATGAACCACCTGGTACCTAACGGACTGCCAGTGGATTGGAATACGGATCGTTTGGTTTAGGACAGTCCACTTATGAAAGAGAATTTAGTGCCCATGCATGGAGTAGGTGGTAAGCCCCTTCTTTCCAATTGTATTTAATTTTTTACCCTATAAAAAGAACCCCTGAAACACCCTTTGTCCCACTCAGCCCATGCCCCTCTATCTTCTCTCTCATGATTCCCCTTCGGCAGCAATCCTATACCATTATTAAGAAAAGAATGCAGAACTTGTTAACAATCAAATTACAGATTATTGTGTCAACTAACCTCCTTTATTGGGTTTGCAGGCAATGGCATCATAAAGTCAGAAGGGTATGGGTAGTCCACCATAGCAAGATAGCTGTAGGCAGAACTCAACCAGTCTGAAAGTTCCTCAGTATTGTTGAGGTTCCTGTGACTCATTAATCCACAAAACCATCATGCAAGCTAGAAGGGAATAGACACCATAGACAGAGAACAGCAAGCCAGCCTCTTCTTGGTGTGAATCTTTTAAAAAAATTATATCACAGAGAACTCATCTTACTGGCACAAGCGAAAATCTCTGCTGAGTTTGAGCAGACCATCATTATCCTCCCCTTGAGTTTCAAGTACCTTCCAAGACTCCTTTATAGCTTCAAAGCAGCTCAAACTTTCACGCTGAAATCAGTTATAAGCTAAGATCACACGACTAAGCATTTTAACAACATGTAACTATGTATGTATGCATCCAATTAAAATTTGATATGCTGACTTTAAAATCGTTGGAGACGAGATCATAGAATGTATCAGGTGGAACGATGTCTTCAAACTGAAGAATGGGGGCAGAGGAAGCAAGTGCACCTATGGCAATATGCGGGTACTTCAGCCTCATCCAAGCAGCCAACACTGTATCAGCAGCAGCAAACCAAACGTGGAAACTAAATTCTCATAAAACGTCAAGAGAAAACTATTACAAACTCTAACTCTTTTGACAGATAGCTAAGAAATCATTTCAATAAAAAAAGAAGAAAAATAGACTTACTTCCCCCATAGGAACCACCAAATAAGACCACTGGGCTTTCTTCTGATGACAAATTACGTTTCAGGTCGGTAAGCAATGCTGAAAAGTCGGCAAGTGCTTGCTCAGTTGTAAGGTAAGACAAAGACTCCGCATTCTTGTATGCTTTTTCTTGACTGCCATAGGGCATTGACTTCCCATAGTACCGGTGCTGTCAAATACAAAGAAAACCAAGAATATTAGATTATCTGAAACTTGAGGTTATTTTGACAAATGCTACCATGAGTTGAACCATCGTTTAAGTGCAACACAGGCGAAGCAGTTGGTTGAACAAATTTAAATGGTGCTCCCTTAAACAATCGTCCTTCAAAAAGAAAGGAGAAATATTAGAAGGGGAGAGTTACATTGTTCTAGTATCAAAATATAGGACATCTAAGAAATATGCATATCCATGAGAATCGTAAAACTCCGCTATCTCGTGAGTACTCCATCTTTGGAGTACAATCCACATAGTTTCCGGTTCACATTGTTAATATATAGTATCAGAGAGATCTTGGGCCAAACTTGATGAAATTTGCATATGATGAGTGAGAGATCGAAGCATCTTCAATCCGATTGACAAAATTATGATTTAAAAGCAAGCTCCTCTAACAGAACAATCAACAACGGACATTGAGATTAAACATGAGCTAAATACAAGATTGTGGCAAGCTAAGTCAAATACGAGGAATCAATAGATTGATCAACCCATGCATATGAAGCCTAAACATACATATGATAATTTGTTTTTGATTGAAAAGCCATAGCAAAAATATTTAGTTTCTTGGATGATAAGTCGTGCACGTCAACTTTATAGATTGTTACTTGTCCAAGTTGTATGAGGTTTATGCATAGATCATCATCAAATTGTGAAGATTTAATGACTGACCAAGTTGATGGCCAAGTCCATAACTATTGAAGGCAAAATTCATGCAGAAAAAAGCAATTGACGCAAGCCATTTTTAGCTTTATTGGCAATAGGATTCCTAAAATGATTAGACCAAGCCTGAAATGTAAGAGATCATGATGATCATGATCATGGGATTCCTGGCCAAAAAGTAAATAAATAAAAGGCTCAGAATTCCATCAATTTAAAGGTTTAAAAAAAAGGTTGAATCTCCTCTCCTTTCTCGATCGATATGATATTTCGTAGGCAGCCTGTCCCTTCCTTGGTACCCTTAGCCCATTCCAAGCAATTAAAAAGAACTACAGGATCTTATACGGAGGCACTCAAAGATTCGCTCAACATGTCGGGATATGTGGTCCAAACATATTTATAAAACATGATATGGAGCCCAAGTCATTGGTATATGTCTCATATATATCCACCTTCGATCGGATACATAAATACATAACCAAACCACTTATAGTCTTAATCCTTCAGTGAGCAAGACAAGGAATATCCTAAAGATTATCAAGCCACAAGGAGGTATTCACCAATAACTCAATTGTGGATGAGGTTGTGTCATGCGTGAAAGACGTGCCTTACATGTTCAGACTTAGTAATTAGTATTTGTACTTTCCATATAAACTTAATTCAATTAGCATCCAAAAGGTGTTCTTTTAGGTTTTTGGAAATACTAACAATTGGTAAATGATCTTCACATACCAAAATAATCGACTTCGAACGGGATCATATCTAGATCAAATTGTGACACGTCATGTGTGAAAGACATGCATTCCATGTTCGGACTTACTACTGCACTTTCTATATATTTCTTGTCCAATTATATCCAAAAGTTGTTCTTTTAGGGTTAACAATCGGTAACGATCCTTACGTACCAAAATAATCGACTTCGAAGGGGATCATATCGAGATCAAATTGTGCGACAAGGAACAGGGAAACGGGTGAGTGCGAGTAGGGGTAGCAGTGGTGACCTCGGCGAAGACGACGAGGGCGGAGAAGCGGGGGGCGATGTCCCAGACGAAGCCGGTGTTATCAGCGAACCACTCGATGTCGCCCTCGTTGCCGCAGTAGAAGAAGATGGGGCCAGCGGGGCGGGCCCACGCGCCGGTGTTTGCGATGAGGTAGCGCTGGTCGAAGGGCGGGAGGTCGGCGAAGCTGAAGTGGTCCAGCGACTGCCGGAAGTAGCGTTCCTCGTACTGGTACGCCCGCGCGCGGTTGCCGGGCCGCGCGAACCGCTCCAGCAACCGCGGCCTCCCCCTCTGCGCCCGACAACAGGGGAAGACGAAGAAGAAGCAAAGAGAGACGAGGACGAGAGTGGTGGCGAACCTCCTCATTCCGAAGAAGAAGAAGAAGAAGGGACCGAGGATAAAAATCTCTCCTTTATGAAGGCTGTAACATGAAGTGGATGCGATGAATCCCTCTCTCTCTCTCTTCCTCCTATCTTATATATCTTCTTCATAAATCCGTCCTTTATGCAATTTATTTGATCCGATTTTACTCGGATATTATTGACTATCATTAGACACTTAGAGCGACATTAATTCCCATTAGTGGTAAGCATCTTACAAATATTTTAGGTATTTTGTATCTTTAATATATATATATATATATAGAATAATATTGATTAATATAATTAATATTTAGTGATATATTAAAATTAATAAGAGCCCACAAATTAAGGGCTGTGGGCTGAGTCTATATGGGCCCATTTAGAGCCCATTAATCTTATGTTGTAGTTGACCCAATAACCTCTATTAGGGAAGTTGGACCTTTTGCTTAACATAAACAGACCTGAAGGCTCCATTGACCTTTGCCTGATACAAAATCTTATGATCATGATTAGGATCGATTTTTTAAATAATTAATTATTCATTGATCTTCCACAACAATATAAATAATTATGTGGGCTTCATACAATGACTCAGTATGGATATATCTATAATATTGTCTAGTGTACCATTTTCAATGTATATTTTTTTAGCATTCAAATGCAATATATGGATGCATTAGGAAGAAATAAGATTAAAAACTGACTGACTATTTATCAGAATGATCTTTTGAAATATACGTGTATATATATATATATATATATAATGATAAAGTTAGGAGATTGTTTCTTAGATAATAATTAAGAGTTGTAAAAGAATAAAAGTCTTGAGTATGAGTCATATTAGGATTTAGTGTTTAGAAGCCCTATAAATAGTCATGTATTTCTTTTATTTTCATAAACTGAATCTTTTCTGCCGTCTTTGAGTAGTAACTTAGAGGAATGAACTCCTATAGAGTTCCAAGGAGGTCGATCCGCTAAAGAGATAAATCTCAAGCTTAGAATCTACAACGGTTCTAATAAAATTGAAGCTAATAAATTGTTTTCTTCTTTGGATGGTAATAATGCATCACTAATTACTAATTTATTGGAGGAACACAAAGCATAAATCCGAATCTTGCAGGCATTTTGCTTTCGGAATTGCATCATGCCTTCGAGACAAGGATTTGACTTGAATTTTTTCCCACAAAAAAGGAAGGTTTGACTTCAGCTCTCCCTTATTAAAACATTCTCCACTCCTTGCTTGGATATGTCTTTTGGAGCATTATTCTTGTGCACGTCTATTCCATTGGTTAGGAATCGATCGATTCGGAATCATGGAATCATCGGTCAATTTCAGATTTTGGTTTCGATCGATTCGATTTGGAAGATCAGAGCTCTCTTATGTCATAATTTGCATTGATTCGAGTCGAGAATATTAAGGCAATGAGGCGTATTTGTGGATCTCGAAACAAGTTAAGGTAGATCAATAATCTTTTTCATATGATATTAGAGTAGTATAAGAGAAACTACTTTTGTTAGTTATCTTCAACTGTCCACCAAAAGTTTAATATTTCTCTAAGAAAGTATTCAAAATAAATCAAGTAGTTGATGTTTCATGATAAATATATAGAAATTCATATCTCACTTGAAGATAAAATCACATTCCGTTATATTATATTATATAACTCAATATAATTAGATAAGATATATTATAAATATTAGGATTCCTCTAAGAGATATTTTCTTAATTATTTATCATATACTTTTTTACTCTCGTCTATAAATATATAATAACTAACTCTTAGAGACTTAATTGGATACATGACGTTAGTCATCAAGAGATTATAAAATTTTCTCATATCTTTTTGTCCATAGTAATTTTGTGAAGAATAAGAAAAGAGAAGAATGTGTGTTTAGTTCTCTTTACAAATCGAAATCGTTGTAGATTCGACGATGATTTATAACATTGAAAATATATACATCATATATTTGATTTTTTTTATTTTTTGACATTAAAATATTTTATATAACATTAACATATTATAGTTTTTATGTTTATAAATTAATATAAACCTTTTTTAAATAACAAAAAGAGATATTATAATTGTTCTCATATTTTTTTTGTCAGTAATTTTGTGAAGAATAAGGAAAGAGAAGAATGTGAGTATAGTTCTCCTTATAAATCGAAATCATTGTGGATCCGACGATGATGTACTTATAGATCAGATAAAGATTTTTTAAATAATATTAAAAAGATATGCATCGTATATTTGATTTTATTTTTTGATATTAAAATATTTTATATAACAATAACATAATATTATATATTTTATGCTCACAGATTAATATAAAACTTTTTTTAAAAATAACAAAAGGAGAGTTGAAATGAGAAACAAGAGACGAGAAAAAAGGACGAAGGCTTCAAGGCGAAGAATCAAAGACGCAGTACAGCGTATCAGCGGTGGGCACCATTAATCTCCCTCCCAAGGAAGAAGATGATGATGATGTCGATGGAGCTTCCACTAGCCTTTAATATCGAGTTGTTTGACTCATTCCGACCTCGAAACACTAGCTTTTCCTCGTTGGTTAACAAGTTTATTATCTAATCATGCCTCTACTTATTGGTTGATGGAGTGTGTCAAAGTCAACCTGCATCAATCACCACTTACCTAAAAACATAGACCGACAATCTTATCACACTAAACACACAAATTAATCTTTACCGTCTCCATTAAAGAGCCAACTACCCTCGAGTGATAAATTAGCCGCTAACGTAGAAGATTTTTTTTTATAATAAATTAATATATCATATCGTATTTCTTTTGATCCAACGAGCGAATTGTTCATGATCCGTATATATGTCTCGTACATACGTAACGTAGACAATGAAATTATTTTATGAAAAAATAAATGAAAAAAATTATTACGATATTTTAGTCCCTTTGTATATGCGCTAAGTTAGTTAGATTTATCATAGTGTGTAACGTATGAAATCTCTTTTTTGAGTAGATGGAGAGATGCTTAATTCCCAAACAAAACAGCTGCTTGTCCTCTTGACTTCCTCCTCTACTTTCTTGGGAACATGATGGATGTTATTGGATGAAAGAGAAGACTCGATCAAGCTGTGTGATGGTTGAATTACCTAACAACCACCACTCAAAATATGAGCACAAGATAGGTGGAGAATTAAGATATTTTTGTGGGTGACACGTCCATTAATCTCCAACCCACTTCCGTAGCTGCTGGTGATTGTTCTTGAATGGTAGGCATGAAAGGCATATCTTTCATGAGGTAAGGGTTTTGATGTGATGAGTTGATTGGTGGGCAATGCACAAAGTCGAAAGTGAGTAGAGGAGCCAATAGAGAAGTGAGAGACAGTGGATGAATACATGAGAGAGAGAGAGAGAGAGAGAGAGAGAGAGAGAGAGGTGGGTGCAAAACTTGAATGCATGAACGGCATTCGTGATTCCTACTCTCCGATTCGCCAACCTATGTCAGCCTGTGTGTCATCTCCCCTGCAGACTTCTCTCGATAACACCCCCTCTCCCATCCATCATCGCAACACATCATGCATTCGTTCCTGTGCTCCCATCCTGCTGTCTCGCGGAAGGAAACCCTTATGGACACGAGCGATAGAGACGATGTGCGAGTCGCTGGCCTTTCTCTTCGGTTGAATTATGATGGCAGAGGTGATCTTTCGGGAGGTGATCATCATCCCCGGCCAAGCGCCGGATTCAAGCTGGAGAGATCTTCTTCGACTGCCACGTCCGTCGAGCCCTATCTCACTCTTGGCCTCCCTGGTGATGGGTGGGGATCAGCGAAAGCTCAGGCCGAGGAAGACAAGGCTTGCTCCGCGAGTAGGGTCGTCGGCCGGCCATCGTCTCCTCATAGCATGGTGTCTTCCTTCTCCGGTGGTCATCTCTCTAGGATTAAGAGGGAGAGAGATGCGAGGGTCAGTGATGAGGAGGAAGACGGCGGTGCAGCCAGGAAGAAGCTCAGGCTCACCAAGGAGCAGTCTGCCCTCTTGGAAGACAGGTTCAGAGAGCATAGCAGTCTCGATCCGGTTTGTGTTACCCCAAGAAATCTGATCCATGGATCAAAATAGATTCTTCGATCGTGATTCTGATCCAGTTTCTGTGTGATTTCTTTGCGATGATCAGAAGCAAAAGCAAGCTCTGGCCGGGCAACTGAACCTTCGTCCTCGGCAAGTAGAAGTATGGTTCCAGAACAGGAGAGCGAGGTCAGTGCCTCACCGTCGACATGCAGCATCATGCAAACCCTATACGCACCAACATGACCGCATCTTTGCTGCAGGACTAAGCTGAAGAAAACCGAGGTCGAGTACGAGCGCCTCAGGAAGTGCTGCGAGACGCTGAGAGACGAGAACAGGCGACTACAGAAGGAGTTGCAGGAGCTGAAGTCGTTCAAGCTTCTGAGGCCACGATACATGCAGCTCCCAGCGACGGCGGTCTCCGGCTTCACGATGTGTCCGTCCTGCAGCACCGTGGCCGCGGCCAGCGACAGCGACGAGAGTGGATCTCTTGTGGTGGCACCGAAGCCTCGCTTGTTCAACCCCTTCGCCCACTCGGCATCACTCTGAGCCGAGATATTGTCTTCACCCACAGGCATAACCCTTCCCTCCTTCCTCGAAGAAACCAAAACAGGCCACGACTCGCTAGATTTCTCATGTTAGCTTTTACACAGATTACAGTGTTGTGATTAGTTCATGTACACAGATATTGGTGATGAAGATTGCCCCAAGTTTATCTACATGTGTTGAGATCGATACAATCATCATTAGATGATTCCGTTTCTCCCCAAGTTCATCTACCTTTATCTTGAAACATTCAGATCATACGGGACTGAATCCTATAACTTTTCATCGGTTGTTCTGAAAGAAAACTATTCATTCCTTTGAAGAGAGTGACAGAGCAGGAAAGAGAGGAAGAAGAAGAACATCCACATCTGAGCTCTACGATTATACATATATACTGTGCTCCACCATCAGATATATACATATAGATGTCGAGAGGCAGAACAGATGTTGAGAGATTGAAGCAGTGAGTTCACATAGTTTGACTTGGACAATCTTTTCAGCATCAAAATCGTGATGTCTCATAAATGCATGAGTGGCGCAACCTTTACTAAATGCTTGCTGAATCTACCTTGAGGAGTACACCGTCGGCAAGAATCCATGAAGTGGTTGGCCGCCCGTAAGTTAATGACTTTGTCTGTTCTAACCATCCCGAGGTAGACGATTCCATCCGCATTGGATTCCTTTTCTCTCTGATTTCTGTTCTGTTCTGTTCTTTCCTTCATGCATCCTTGTGTTTGGTCTGCTTGCAAGTACGTACACTAATAGTTTAAGCTCCTCACTTTTCTCCGGTCATTCCATCTTCTCAACCAGATGGTATCCATCGACCTGATGATGTAGAAACATGACACGCAGCTCGGCAGGAGCTCATCATCCGAAGAAGAAGACCAGACGAGAGACAGACTACTTTTCTCGAGGCTAAAAGGGTAGCCGACAACACGTGTGTGCAATCCTCGTTTCTTAGGAATGGGAGGTGGCCGTGGCTTCACCGGAGGCAGAGAAAGTCCTCCAATAATTAAGAGAAAGAAAGGAAAAGGAAGAGAGGAAAACGTATGGGACAAGAAAGGAATGACAATGATTAATGTGAAATGGAAACAGAATGAGCACAAGAAGGCCATTTGGAGGGGATTGGCGATGAGTCCAACAAGAGAGAGAGAGAGAGAGAGAGTCCAACTTTCATACAGAATCTTAGGCAATCAACTCCTTTATCTGTCTCCTTTCACCAACATGATGTTGGATTCTCCCTGGACTTTTTTTTCCTCCTTGGTATAAATATCTCATATGATTGAGAGAGGTATAGGTCAATAATTCTCAGGGTTTTGGGGTACCCATACACCTTATGTTAGATTTTATGTGATGAAAAAAAAGAATTTATCGCATCGATCGATGCGTCTTAGCGAAAAAGAGGGATAAAATAAAATAATTTATCGGTCACATTATCGAAGAAAAATTTGTGATAGATACATCTCGGAATGATTATGTTGGAAAGTAAAATTTAATGTTGAAGGATAATGAACCTAATTCTTCTGTGAAAACTTTTGTGGCTTTCCAAAGGGAATAGTATGAACAATGTAGCTTTTGTGAACATCACATGAGAATGATTTGCATATGTTGGATGAGAAAAAGGAGATGGCAATCACATATCCCTTGCCAATCAAGCATAATTGTGTACTGGAGGAAGTTTCTTTGAAGCTTCTCTACATCAAAAAGCAGGGCCTGGAACTTATCCTACCTTTGATTGCATCATCCACCATACCATGCACTTTGTGTGCCATCTTCAGGTTTCTTTCACATAGCATGTTGTGTCTTTGGAATAATTATCCATGCACCTGTCTGCCCTTGCAATGTCTCCCTCTCTGTCATCCATGATTTCTCCCTGCCAAAGAATCCCAGGTCACATCTCCCTCTTCTTGACTCAGGGAAGCACTTGTCACAACATTGTGTCTACCCAAACACAGCAGCAGAGCTGTCTGATGCCCATTGTTCATCCACAAAAACAGGACATGATATGGCACTCTGTCTGAGCAATGTGATGGGTGCTCAATTCCTGTAGCTGAGCACCCCAGAAAGAAAGGAATCAGATAAATATGACAGCAAAATAATCCAAAGAAAAGATGGAAGAAACAGAACAGAAAAAGAAAAAGGAATATAAACTGCAGGGCCACAATCCAGAGATGAACAAAAGGATGGTGGACGAATGTTATTGGCTAACAAGATTTGCTTTTATTTCTGCTTGAGGAAAACCAAGACAAATTAGCTATCCTTGTCTGCTGACCAGAGATAATGATTCTTCTGCACCTGATTCAGGCCTTCCACCAGATATTGAAGTGACCATAATTACCATCAGAGATGTCTTTCTCTGTTTTTGTTGCTGTGCAAGCTTGCAGCAATGTGTTGTTATATCATCAAAGGAATATAACACAAACTTGCATGAAGAACACATGATGTATGCTTTGACAAAGATTACATTGCTAACTTGAGGTTTCAGTTGAGGCTGATAACAACAGGATTGATCATTGCTAGCTGACAAGGGCTGAGCCTCAGCTTCCATGTTCACTGAACACCCACAATCTTATTCCTAAAATGTGATGCAGACAATAAATGTGAGGAAATGCAAGAAAGATGATTTTGTGTTAATAATCTAGAAATACAGTGATGATAGAATGACTTGTTCCAAGTACTGTAGCTATTTTCTTTGGAAGAAGCCATCTCAAGCTCACAAATCTTCTCATCACAGCATCTGAGGTTGATCCAAGCACCAAGTGAATCTTGGGGTGGAGCCACAATCTTCTGTATAGGGCATGTCTTGCTATTGTTATTGTAGAAATTAGGTAATCATTTTCAATAAAAATAATTGGACAAATTATCCCCAAAAAAAATCCCTCTTTTCTCTTTTTTTTTTTCCTCCCATAAAGTGTTTCCTGTTTCGAAAGAGTACTAATTCAATAATTTTTTTAATATTATTATAAAATTAATTATGAGCTTGAAAATTCATATTCAATTAACATAATTAAAGAAATTAGTATATGCTAGTTGATTAAATATAGGGGAGGAGGATTTACCCAAAAGAAGACAAAAATATAAGCAAACTCACCCCATGGAGTAGTAGGCCCAAAGCTCAACCCAAATGGATGGATAGATCCACCTCCAGCCCAGACAAGAGGTATCTGCAAGAAGACAATGCCAAGAAAACTTAAGTATAACAAAATATTCTGTCTAATGGTCCATATCTGCTCACATTTCTGTTGACAGTCAAGGAGACTCCTTTCACCTGCCCTTCAATTCATGGTGTTTATGGGCTCAAGGGACAAATCTGCATCCTGAAGAAAGAAAATACCTGTAGGAAGGAGAAGACATGGTTTGTTCATTTTCTGGTGTACTGTTGAATTCAAACACAGCAATTTATCTGTCTGTTTTCTGTGATTTTGTCAATTGAAAGTTCAATAAATCTGAAGGAAAAAAAGGTCTTATCTTGAATGCTTTGAGCTGCTGAAAAATTATCTGGACTTGTGAATGCAGAAACTGAATGATAACATTACCAGTTGTCCTTTCTGAAGCTTCAAGTATGAGAAGCATTCCTTGCATCGATGTGTCAACACTGCCAAAGATCACTGCTTGACAGTCCCTTCCACCACAGAAATGAAAGGTCATCATCATAACTGTTCAGTGATTGAAGCCTCTATGTATCTGTTTTCTCATTTCTCTGGCATAATGCACAACAAAGTGCTCTGTTGAAATCAAGTTGCCTCTTTGGATTTTGCAGTAGCCACCTGAAAAATGCACTTGGTGGCTCATTTGTTTGATTGCAGTTGATTGTTCACTGACCTTGTGGTGAAGAACAAGTTGTCACCTCAATCAGGTTCATACAAACAAGCTGAATGATCATAGTGTCAGAAATTGACATGTGAGGCAGGTATGATGAATGCTCATCAGTGTGATGAATGATCACAGTATTTTTTTGATGGATTTGCATGATGTGAAGCAGCACAAGATGCTTTAAATCCACTTCAGCAAAGTTGTAGTATTGGGGAAATATTATGGTTGAGGTTTAGGCATTTAAGAGCTTTGACAACATTTAGACATTCAACTTGGAGTTTCTGCTGGAGGATCCACTGTAACAGAGTGCTCAATATCCTATCACATCAACACAGGATGGATGTGGTGAAATGGAAGGAATTATGGCCACTGGCTCTCTTCAGGAGTCAGAAGGTCCAATGATGTCCTGTTGAAGTACAGAAGAAAAGGCAAATCATGGACCATCTCACATGATGGATGGTCTTCAACATTCATAATGCCATATCATGGAGATGTGGGGCATTGCTGCTGCATCTTTCTGATATAACTTATGACCTATGGAAGTGGGGAATATATACAGATGTGGTGTGTAAGATTGCAAGAAGATGCTGTCAAGTGATTGGCTGAGATTACTCTTGTGCAACCATCAGTAATCAATCCATGGTGAATGGCTGGATGCATCCCCATTTTTTTCTCTCTGTTAAAATGCTAACCAAACCAATGTTTGAAGTGTTCATTCAGATGGGTTACCTTTGAATTTGGAATGGGTCACATCATTGCTGGAGTTGGCTTGCATGCTAAATGGGGATTAGCTGATGCTGTAAGATAGTCTACTTGTTTGCTTCTATCTATCTATCTAGCAAAACAACTAATGATAAGCATTAGATTCAGGAAGAAATATAAGACCTAATATGTTTATAGATCTGCCAGCCCTAAACTTGTCTCGAGTGCAGTAGCCTGAAGCTATGTTGTTGGTGAATCAACATCAGTTGTCACTGGCACCGCCATTGGTGTTTCTGGCCATTAACAAATACCTATACCCAAGTGGATTTATGGAGAGTGATGACTCTGCCTTCCTGACTTTTTTTGTCTTAGTAGTGTAGGAGATTAGACAGAGATCTAAGCTGTGCACACATGTCTACGTTCAGGTCTGCAGCAGATCACTGTGAATGGCAGCTCATGATGGAGATTCGGGAACAGGTGGGCCTGTGGTTTGCCCTCCGTACCATGCAGCTACGGGGAGCCCTCCACGTTCCCGATCCAGTCCTGTGCCTCTCTCTCTCTCTCTCTCGATCTATCGATCGATCTTTCTCTCCCCCACAACCATTTATTGAATTGGATGACTATGATCATGAATGCAACAGGAAGGGACTGGCATTTGATGTAATCGTTAGGTTTGGATAGGTCTGCAGGTCTTTGATAGCGTGGGTGAGACTTCACACTACTTGCCCAAGGGTCAGAGGGAAGAGGGCATGGATTCCAAGCAAAGCTGGTCGGAAGGAGGCCCATGTCATGAACACAAGCGCGCAAGCAAAGCATGTTTCCTGCACACGAAATAATGATGAAGGTGGGAGACCAAACCTCGCCCGGCAGCATGGTGCAGGTGGTGGCATGCACGGAAGATGAAGCTTGCTTTGGGTTTGTGCATGTTGGGAACCTGACTCCATCTTTTCCTGCGCCTTTGGTCAGAACATGGTGCCCCCCTCCCAATCCCCCCCCCCACCTTTTGCTTTGGCCGTATCATACCTGCCAACGTGAAGGGAAGGGCAAGCACACATGAGAAAAGGAGGAAGAAAGGATAAGCAAACAATGGAGGGAAGAAAGGTGAGTGGGATTCTCCTCACCAACTGTGGAGCAGAACAAAGGAGACCAGAAAAGGCTTCGGGGGATGATGGTAGGGCAGAGGGGCACGTATGTTTAGGGCAGACTCAGCTTTGGGTTAGATGGATAGGGAAAGGGAAAAAAGGAGAAGAAGAAGAAGAAGAAGGGTGTGCCCACAAGTCAAGGTGCTTCAAATTACTCCTGTAAGGAGGAGGAGGAGGAGCACAAGCACACATGTCCTCTTCTTCTCCTCCTCCTTTTCTCAAGGTTCTCTAGGTGGTCACAGTGTCATCCAAAGGGCGACGTGAAATCTCATCTTAATCGGGTTGATGGACGCAATAATGCAGCCATGGAATCACAACCATGCAATGCATATCTATCAACCTATCTCTCTGCACTTTTATCTGCTCCACCCCCCTCCCCCTACCCTTTTCCATGTGGTGGCTTGGAAGAATGCAAAGCGATTCTAGGATAAAGTGGGGGGCACTGTTGCACCACAGTGGCGATGGCTCGCGTGATGGTACGGCCAGGCTCGAAATGCTTAATGCCTTTAATTGCTTTGAATCATGAGGGCAGCGAGGGGTGGTGATATGGGGACGGACACCTCTGTCATCCTTGGATCTCATTGTATGGTAACCAAGAAGAAGAAGAAGAAGAAGAAGGAAGTGGGTGTGGGTGAATTGCTTAGTGTTGAAGTCTCGGATAAATCTGCTCAGGTTGTCCTCTGTTCCTTGCCCAAGGACCACACACGACTGGGACTTGTGAAGCTGGTCATGTAATTAGGAGCTGTACTGCGTAGATAGCTTTTTGCAAAGACCAATGAGCAGTGCAGCATCTGATTCCAAGAAAGACCCCTAGTCTGTGGCATGTAGTAGCAAGATGTTGATCCTTTTGAGGGAAGACTTACCTGTGGTTCCTTCCATGCATGAAGAATATTAACAGTAACTCACTGCATCAGATGGTGAAACTTGTGTTGGTAGATCTTGTCAATGCTTTTGTCATAACCTGTCTCCCTTTGTCTTCAAGTTTCTGCACTGAAAAGAACAAGGAGAAATAACCTTCGAGCACTCCATGTGTCCATCAGGCCACAGGTACTCAGGCTTCATCCACATGTTAAGTCCGGATGATGAGAGTGGTAGGTCTCTCTCTCTCTCTCTCTCTCTCTCCAAATCGTATATTATTTTCTGTAATCTCCAAGTAAGCACATCAATCAAGTGGAAGAAGGAGATCTCACCATTCTCAAAGTTAAAGAAGCTTGGAATCCTCAGTCATACATAAAGGTGTACCAAAATGAAAAGGGTATACCAACTCCTCTTCTTTTTTCCCTGCCTTTTTCTTATTCAGTGGTTCCCAAAATTCTCTCTCTGGACCAAACCCTAAATAAACCCCAACCCACCCGCACCCATTTCTCTTGCATGCACCATCATCTCATCCCTCTTCCGCTTCTCCTCCTCCCTATCTCTCTCAGACAAGTCCCAAGCATACACAGCTCTCATGGCAGTTGAAGCTCACCATCTTCACCTCTTCCCTTCCCAACTCCTAAGGAACAGGTACTGGCCAACTTCTCACCACCCTTTCTTCTTCCTCCTCTCAAAACCCATCTCTTCTCTCCCCGGTACATATCTGCATGCATGTGTGTGAAACTCACTTGGCTACTGTTTCCCGCAGGGAAATCATTAATGGTGTAGAGGACCAATCGGGCTTCTACAACACGCAATTGGGATTCTTTGCACCGGCCTCCGGCGCCACCGCCAGCTCTTATATCCCCTTCTGCAGCAGCCCATCTGCTCCGATGACCGCCGCCACCACGTCTGAAAGCGGTCTCACCTTCAACAACTTCCACGCCGCCATGGCTTCGAGGAAGCGGCCGCGAGACTGGGATCGACAGCTTTCCTTCCTCGGCCAAGATTTGTCCTCCCACATCCAGCAGCAGATGCTCGACGTTGATCGCATCATCCTGCACCACGTGATTCTCCTGCTCCGATCCTTTTATGCATCGAGCGCTGCATAATTTCCTGTGCATCAATTAACAGTGGGATACATGGCAGGCTGAGAAGGTGAGGGTGGAGCTAATGGAGGGGCTCAAGCGGTTCCTGAGGGGAATCCTCGCCGCCGTAGAAGAAGGCCTATCGAAGCGGCTCGAATCCAAAGAAGAAGAGATCGCGAGAGTGAGCAAGCTGAACTGGGCACTGGAGGAGCGCATCAAGACCCTGTGTGTCGAGAACCAGATGTGGCGGGACTTGGCGCGGAGCAACGAGGCGGCCGCCCAAGTCTTGCGGACCAACCTCGAACAGGCCCTGGCGGAGGCGCAGGTCAAAGCCGAGGAAGAGGCGGCGGCGATCGCCGCCGATGACGCCGAGTCCTGCTGCTTCGGCGACAATGCGGGCGGCGAGAACAGGGATCCAGCGGCGGCGGAGGCGAAGAGATCGGGGCTGAGAAGGGTGTGCAGGTGTTGCCAAGCGCAGGAGCCGTCGGTGCTGCTGTTGCCGTGTCGGCACCTCTGCGTGTGCGCGGCCTGCGGCCCGGCCGTCGTCGTCTGCCCGATCTGTAACTGCAACTCCAATGGTAGTGTCCTTGTGAACATGTCTTGAACTCTACAGCTTTCGTTAAAAGGAAAAATCACATTCGAATTTATCGTCTTCATGATAATAATTAGCTCTTTTTCCCCCTAAATAATGATTTGATTATCTCTTATAATACTTGTTTTGGATGATGTTCTTCGATCAAGTGCTATGAGAATTATTGGTTTCTTCGGTGCCGCTCACGTCGCATGTGACCCGTTTCACCCACCTACGTTATCGTCTTCCTCTGAGGCACGGGTTTCCAGGCCAAGGGACGTAACAGGAAGCACCAGATCCACGTGCCGGGTGTGGTGTCCGCGGGCACGTCACACGTGCCCCATCACTCCGAGGTAGGAAACGTGAATCGGCCCCTGCTCCCCTACACGGCCATGCCACATTTAATCCACGCCTTGGACCGTGTCAGATCAGATGCACAGCAATCAATAATCTTGTCTGTTGTTTCCTGTGCATCTTTCTGTCCCAAGAAACAAGATTTTCGTTTTACATACCTGAAGACAAGTAAATACTACTGAGTCGACTCACAATAAAAGATCGAGCAACTCAACATTTCGCAATACTTCTTGATGAGGTTTTAGTCACCATTAAGTCTGTGTCGGCAAAATTAAGTTGACCAGACGCCATCGAACAGGACAAATCGACGCAACCCTTTCTTATCGTTCGGGTCCCACGTGAACCGAGGTAAACGCCTTTTGGACACATGTGAAAAGTTCCGTCGTGTCATCTCGTGGTGCTGCCACGCGGTGGCGGTCCCCTTCTGTCGGGCGCTGCTCGTTGGCCGAGGATGCCAGCGCCGCGGTCCCACTGGCATCGTCCGGTCCGGTTGTCCTGGACCGTCCGATCAAGTTGCTCCTTGATGGCACACTGGCACAAATAAGTAATAACATGGCGGACGCTCTATAGCTTCATGTTGATTTCTAATTGGTCGAGCGACTGTAACCATCGACCGCATCAATCTCATAACTATTCGGGAATGGCATTCTTTTAAGATGGATAAGTTTGGTGTTTAAATCCCTCCTTGAGTAGTATAATCCCAATAATTGAAACTACAGATTTCATGCTAATGGTGGTTGTTGAGAAAGATTAGTGGTTAAGCCTAAATGGAAATGGAGAGGAATAATGATGATGAGAAGGGAGTGGGGCTACTTGTTACACCACAAGGAACATGAATGCTGAAATTTCTGTGTGGCCCATGCAAGGTAGTGACTCTGCCTCGCTTATGGAAAGAAGCCAGGGAAGTGGTCTCCAATTACTTAATGGATGATGTTGTACAGAATGAGAAATGTGTCATCTCTGAATTGGCATGAATCTTTATGCTACATATCAGTCACTCTGATGGCCCAAATAAGGCTGTGAAAGCCATGCTTTTGTAATTGCCTGTGGAAAGAGATAAGCTTCTTTTTTAATTATTCCATCAGAACAGTAAGCATATATTCTTCCTATCTGTCATAGGCCTGTGTGACTCGTATGTCAGTATCCAAAATTAAATGCCAAGATATCATAATAATGAATAGTGATGTAACTATGCCATGCAGAAAAGGTTTCGCCTTATACTGGTAGTAATTAATTTTATCTTTTTAGCACTAGAATGTTAGGCAGATTGGAAGGGTAGCTAAAGAAGTGAGGATTGGTTGAGGGGGATATGCAGCACAAGGTAAAGATGATTAAGTTAGATAATGATGGTGCGTAGGGTCTACATTGGGTTTTGGCAAGGTAGCATCCACGTCCACATCAAATGATGCAAGAACCAAAAAAATACACAAGGCCCAAGCCAAACTAGAAATGGTTTGATGAGACATGCTACCAGTGTTGTCATTTGAATGGGAACAATCCTTGAGAAGAAGAAGAAGAAGAAAAAAAAAAGACTATGTGATCTTTTATATTCAAATATCATAAACACAAAAGGTCGCAGAGCGTCATGATTCTCGTGTGGCCTTCCAATTTTTTGACACATACCACTGGTGTAGAGTGAATAAAAGAATGCTTTCTTGGTGGAATAGGGTTTCTTGTGAAGTGCACTTGGGTGGGTGGTGCAGTGAACATGAAAGCTCATTCCGGGTGCTCTAGTAGATCTTGTCCAGAGCACAAACTTAAACTATTGTTTCCTGGGGACAATTGCCAATAAAGCTTGCCTCATGTCTCCCTCCCTTGATTGGAGACAAGATCAAAAGGAAAAAAACTTGTCAAAATCTCTTTACTCCTTGCCCATAGAATCACATGTCAGTGTCATCTAGTCCTCCCTAATCAGTATATTAAATAATCCACATCATCATACCATTTCTTACATGTCAATTATGCTCTACAAACCTCTGTTTTTGTTTGTCCAAAGGATCATTGAATATTAAGAATTTAAAAGAGGGACTGAATAATATCCCTCATCAACGAATAACTAAGGTGCAATTGAGTGACCAAGCACATATGTCATGATCTCAACTAATCTCAAGAGTCCTGGTAGAATATATCCCATTGGAAGCATGTGCAAGCATCCCTCATACCAGCTCTTTATACCTTCTTACACGAGACTTCCTATGCTTTTATCATCCCATGCCTATGCTTTTATCATGCTGGTAGGAGTGTAGCACTGCCAGCAACTGAAAGGGATGTAAAGATGCGTGATACTGGGAGATAGATATTATTTATTGCGCTTAAATGCTGTCCTGTGAGACCATGATGACCAAGGCAGTGCAACAAAGACATATGGTTGAAGAGAAAGAAGTCTTCCCCTTTAAATCAGTAGACATGTAGAGTTCTTTAAAGATTTGATTTTGATTCTTCCTTGTGGAGTAAACCAAGCATTCATGTGACACTTCATTTGACCATCCCTTGTGGTGGAGTGAAGGCAATCCTTTTGTCGTTTACATAGGTTTAGTCTAGGTCTCAAGGCAAAACCTACCTTCCCAAAAAACCGCAAAAGTGGGAGCATAAGAATGACATCTTAGAGCAACAACTCTTCTATTGCATCTTATTTGCAAGTGGACTTAAATGCCCAATCCTAAAGGAGAACACACAGCCACTAAGTTGGTGGTCGAACCCAATCCCACAGTGTGGGGACTTCTAATGAGCCTGCCTTGTCTTCCTATCATGCATGAATTCTGTGGCGCTATGAAGGACTGAAGTGACGTATTGTTTAATGCATCGGTGAGGATACAGATGGCAACAACAAAGAGACCATTCATGAGGGTTGGACAGATAGGTGCCACGATAATCTCAAGCACTAATGCAAGCTCAAGTGGGAAGCGTTGTCATTGAAGATTGCAACATGACATCCATGGGGAAGTAAAGCTAATTAAAAGAAAGATAACCCTCCCTTTCCCCTATCATGTAGGAGTACTCATGTTGTGTTGCGATTGTGGGTCACAAATTAGTTGGGCTAAAAAGAGAAACACTATCAAAACAGTAATCCTTTCTCCCTCATCCTTCACAACTTAAATATTTGAGATACTATAATTTCTTCTATATTTCTTTCTTTGGATGTAAAGATTAATGAAGGATAAGAAAATCCTTCATACAAGGAGTACGAGGCAATTGTTCTTATTAGTTGAAGAGTTAAGGTAGGCTAAATTCATTTTGTAGTTGCCTTAGTTTAAAATAACACATGTCACTCCCAATATCAAGTTGCAATGCCCTCTCCCTCTTGAGCAACTCAGTGCACAAGTTCCCAACAACAATGTGATATCAAGTTAATGCAACTCTTTCTGCCAACAAATTGCATAAATGATGATTATGTCAAAACTTGTTAAAATTAGATCTTAATATAGAATCTTAGTTTATTTTACAATGCATTGAACCTAAGAGTCAAACTTGATCTACAGGTGCTAAGGACATTGAACCTAAGAGTCGAACTTAATCTATTGTGAAGGAATCCTTAATCAAGAGGTGCTAAGGACACAGTCTTTAGCTTCAGCTCAAGCATGTAGCTTTGTTCAACTTTGCAAAGCAGCTCAAACTTTTTTAATTGTTTAACTTATTTGTTTCCTTTTTATGTTATTATTTAGCAAATCTTTAAGTGAGAATACTATAACAACAATAACAATTACAAGACCGTATGCCCTAATTATTTATAGTCGACTAAACAAGAATATTAAAATGAACTAGTAAAAATCCTCCTTTTACTATTAAAGTGTTTTCTCATATTCTACAGTAGTGTCTCAAATGGCTTCAAGAAATTTAAAGAAAACACAAAAATTAATGTACTTTAACTTGCAAATATTAAAAAGAAGAATCAAATGACTTAATTCCATTCCAATTTGCAATAAATCTACTAATGCTGATGCAAGAATGCCTAAAAACTTGTTCTATATAAACAAATGTAATCCAAAGAAAAGAAATGATGATATATCGAAATTGATATTATTGAATTTCATTAAGGTTAAAATTATGGACGTAAAGTCTATGATTTCATGATAATCCTACAGAAATGCAGATGTAGCATACACTCAATATTAATTTTACCAAGTATGAGCAATCAAAATTGGGCCCAAATCATCTCTTAGCAACAAACTAAACTTAAAAGTAGATCTATTGTATCATACATAACCCAATCAGATTCAGAATGAGATCGGATTAGATGCAGATCAGGTATAATTGACTGAGTATAGTGATATCACTATCAAAGGAACTGATCACATGTTTTGGTTATAGTTCCTTCAGAAACTTAAAGAAACTAAGGGCATAAAACTTTATATTTAATCATTAGAAGGGAATGTGGAAGCAAAGACTCGTGTTATTTTCAATCTTATGTGACAGATCAACAGTGCAACACATAGCAAGCAGAAAAGGTACCTGCAAGAGGCACTGCCAATTGCTTTGGATTCTCCAAGCATCCAAGAATGCTTAACCTGAAACACATTTGAAGTATATTCTGCAGGCATATATAATCGAGCAAACAAAACTATATCCTTAGTCCTTCCACAGTACAAGTCCAAACACTCATATGTACCAATGCTTTGGACATCTCAATTGTTTTGGGTTGCAAGAGATGAGCACAAGGAAGGACCAAAGAAAGACAACATGCTATATCATCAGTTTCCTACATATGATTGTTCTTCTAAAAACAAGTTATTGACAAACAACAGGCAGATTTCAGCTTGAGATGAATCGTTCACTGCCACCAGTGAACGATTTATTGAGCTGAAACTTGAGGAGGAAAAAAGGCATCAACTAATCAGCAACCTAAACATCATACTTGAACCACAAAAATTCTAAAGATCATAGAAGTGATATGTAGGTGTTTCTATTTGTCACAATCAATTAGTTTAGCTTCCTGTTTATTCATCATGAAATTTAGTGTCATGTATTGGGTTCAAACTGCCAGATAGTAAGAAGTTGATGGGAAAAAGGTCACAATACGAAAGTAAACCTTTGCAACCTAGATGAGCAGAGTTTTGAGTGACGAAACCAACCTTGGTGCATGCCTCGTGACCTTTGTTTGTCCTCATGATGCTGCTTACTGATATGCACAGGCGAACTTTCTGTAGCATCAAAGAACAAAAGTTTTAGCTAACCAATGGATTTTTCATCAACGGCCATTACGTTGGAGGAAAAGTTCAAGAGCACATCACACTCCTGTGGATCCAAACCCTCCGTCGCCGCTGGCAGTAGAGTCCAAATCAAGAAGCTCAACGACTTCCGGAGTCATAAACCTCTCAATACCCCATCGATCACGCCGACCCCAAAGTATGGAGAGACACCTCCATATCAGCATTTCACCGAACAGCTAGAGGAGTAGTTATACCAATGCGGGCGTCAGTACCATTAGGAATGGCGACGCCTGTTATGAGACGACGACGGACAAGAAGTTGAGGAATTCGCAACACCTATAGATATCGTAGCCAGCAAAGAGAGGGGAGGCACTGGAAAGCAAGACGGCGTTTCAGGAGAGCTTTCAGATGCGGAGAAGAGAATGCCGGATCTCCTCGTGGAGGCCACCTTTCTGAAAGATCTTTGGACCTTTGGCGACGGGTCCTGGATGCCTGGCTACCGCCATTGACGGCGGCGGAGAGGAGGGGAGGAAGGGCGGCTTTGAGGGCGAGGAGAGTGAAGAATCGAGATGGGGAATGGGGACGGGGGCGGTTGGGCTTTTAAATCATAAAACCGCGGGAAACTTCGCCACGGTATTTTCAAAATTCAAATCCTAATCTTCCAAATCACTAATATACTAATGTAATATTATCACCATTGCTCTCATCTATTTATAATATTCCATTATAATTTTTAAAATATTATATACAAATTAATATGTTCATAAAAATAATTAAATATATGATCCAAATTTTATAATTATATCTCATGTCCTATGTTAGTGAACATTGTACATTAACTTGTCCTTTTTACTATCTAATTTATTTTATAAGTCCTACAACAAAAAAATATTTTTGTTTCATTGATCGATATATTTTTTAATATATATATATATATATATGTATATATATATATATATATCCTTAATGATAAGGTTGAAATATATATTCCTTTAAAATGAAAAAAAAGTACTTGATTTAAATCACCAATAAAATATTAAAAAGATCTAATCACAAGAAGTAATTTGTAATTACCTCGATCAAGACACACGGTCACGACAAGACAAGAACTCATTCAGCCATCATCTCTATCTATTAGAACAGCTAAAGATGACAACAGTGGGAAGAACTTGGCTAGAAAAAGAGAGGAGACCAAGTAATAGCTCAGTGCCGAAGCACCATCATCACCACCATTCTTCTGGCTTAATTTTAGAGAAACAAAAGCTTCATTGGTGCTTTTGAAAAAAGGTTAAGGGTGGAAGAAAACAGGAAGCCCAGTGGTGGTGTGCAGCAGTTCTGCTTCTGTGTTTCAGCCAGGCATTGCAGAACAAGAGGCCTTCGCAAAGAGGCCATTTGACACAGCTACCAGCAGCAGTAGCAGCATGAATGACGAAGAGATTGGAGAGAAGGATTCCGAGGATTTCCTCACCAACCTCTTCCATTCTTTACTCAATAATGGAGGAGAAGAATCTTCTTACAATCATGTTTGGCCATTATGTGACCTATCACAACACTCTTCTCACTTACCTATTCTTCTTCTTCTTAAGCTGAAATGGTTTGTGGATGGAATCAGGTCATGGAGCTCAGCCGGTGGGTGGTGCTGGGATCCATCATTGGGTTTGTTGGTGCAGCTCTTGGCAGCATTGGTGGCATTGGAGGAGGATGGATCTTTGTGCCCATGCTCCCCTTGATCATTGGATTTGACCCCAAGACATCAACAGCCATTTCCAAGTGTAAGTCAACAAGCATGCAGATGAACAATAATTTCAACCTACTTTTAATAGTCAAGAGGAATTCAGAACTAAGCTGTGAACTGCACTAGTTTTTGTGAAGATTAATATTTTCCTGTTTTGCTGCAGGCATGATCATGGGTGCTGCAGGAACAACAGTATACTACAACCTGAGACTGAGGCACCCAACCATGGACTTACCAATCATTGACTATGATCTAGCACTGTTGTTTCAGCCCATGATTATGTTGGGCATCAGCATTGGAGTTGCTTTGAATATAATCTTTCCAGATTGGATGCTCACTGTCTTCCTCATCATCCACTTACTAGGTAATCTTTTAGGCCATCCCATATGTTCTTCCTCTCAGTCTCTTTTTTGTTTTTGATGCAACATGCTTTAATATCACATTGACTACAATTGCTGATCATGTTCATATAAAGAGGTCCTGATTTCTTCTGAGCACACAAAGATTTCCCCTCCCAATAGAAGAAAGCTAATTATCAAGTGTGTTCATATCCTGCAGTAGGAACTAAGCTACCCTTTCAGAAAAATAAATGTCAGTAGCAAGTAACCCTAAGTTTACAAAGCAGATATGTTTCTTTGTTCCCTATATAAAGGCACTGATCAGTTGTAAACTCTTGGTGTTAGGTACATAAACCAAAGCACTGTTCAAAGGAGTAGAAACATTGAAACAGGAATCCATTATGAAAAGTGTACGCCTCTTTGCTTATTGCTGTCAACTGTAAAATTCCCTCAAGCATGCATTTTGATTTGAAGATTTATTTGGATTTCAGGAAGCTACAAGTCTCTAGGCCTCACAAAGAAATGGTATGCAAAGCAGTTAATATGAATATTTCTGTGATAATGAACTCATAGATGGCAGTTGATCAAGGAAAAGACAAACTTATACCATACTCTCTTCTTAACACATTGTTTGAACCAACTAATTGTAGAGAATGTAATAAAAACCAGATCAGATGTTTCTTTTTTCTTTTTTTTTTGGTGTTTCTTTTCAGAAGAGTTTCAATTCATATTTTGCCTGTAAAATGTTACCAGGTGCAGAACTGGAATACAAGGCACTCCCTGGGGCTCTCCTGCTAATCCACAATGTAGAACTTCATCAGATGATGAGGTAGCATCTAAAGACAGCCTTTTAATTCTCCATGTAGAATGACACTGTTTAATACCAGTCAATATTATACTGCTGCTACTTATAAAGGATAACATCTACTGGAAGGAATTAACAGTTCTTTCATCCGTATGGGCAGCATTTGTGGCAGTCCAGATAGTCAAGGTGGGAATACAAATTGTCAAAATTCCAATAGTGAGAAAAAAGAGAATAGAGACCATTATAAGCTAGGATATTTTCTTATCCATCCATAATGAGTCACTTCTATATGAGATTCTTGTGCAGACATACACCACACAGTGCTCCACAGAGTATTGGGTTCTAAACATCATGCAGGTATGGCCTCCTACATAAATCAATGAAATGTTGTGATCAAATTCTGTATATGTCTGTGTTTGATTAAGAAGACAATGAACTGGACAATGATGCTACTTCTGATTGCATCAATTTCAGATTCATGATTTCAGGTGTGTGTGTGTGTGTGTGTGTGTGTGTACTGCATCATTGTGTGTCCCTGGTCCAAAAGAAATATCAGTGATAGAACCAAAATCATAATATCTAACAAAACCATGCATAGAATTACCCATTAATATTCCAAGGACAGAAATGATGACCCACCATAAAAAGAAAAGAAACTAATCTCAAGTAATTGTACCAGTATCAACCACTTTTAAAAGAAGCGATTTCATATGCTCCATTCATCAGCTACAATCTATGGGAAACTAAGCTTCCTATTCAATTTTTCATTGTTGCTCCTTTTTTATCACGAATTGAGAACACTTTGAAACCAACTACCACCCTTATCACTGACCCATACCTACCTGGTAATACTTGTCTAAAAACAGTTTTTTACGCTCGCAAATTAGCAATTTGATACAAAGATGCTCTATCTTATTCTCCCGTATGTAAAAGAATTAGCTATTTGATATACTTCAGTAGTTCAGTGTAGGTAATTGTTTGGATACTATTGTCATGAAGGTGCCAATTGTTGTTGCTATCACAATCAATGAAACTATCGGCCTCTGTGAAGGAAAGAGAACCATTGCCTCAAGGGGCAACCTAGAAACCAAACGGAAGATTCATCAGCTGCTTGGGTTTGGAGGAGGGCTCATCCTTGAACCATTGTTTCTTGAAATGGGAGTTCCTCGACAGGTTCTATTCTCTTGACAAAATCAAAGTTGCATAGTATTCCTTGGACTACTTATGATTTATGACCTAAATTTGCTATTCTGAACATGGAAACTAAGCTAGGATTTACAGAATAAATCATAATACAGTTCAAGAATTGAATTGTTTCTAAAGGAAAATTCTTTTGTTTTTATTTTCTTTCTGCATACATTCAAGTTATTTTTTCCTGACGAAATGATCTAATTTTCAAGCCTTTATACCCTAGAAATCAGGATCATTTCGGTCAAAGTTTTATGTAAGGTTCAGAATTAAAATTTGCCAAGCACTGCAATACTGCTCAAAAGTTCCTCAGGTATACATGATACACTTTCCACCTCCTTGACTACAATCAAATTAGCACTGAGTAGTCTTTTCTTTTCAAAAAAGAAGTCTTGCCTAAATAGGATGATGACTATTACACATCCTAACCTACTAAAAGTAAACTATGATGTCTATCAACTGAGGCAGATCAAGTTCATGACCATCTCTCTCTCTACCCCTCAAAAGAAAAAACAATCATGACCTAATTTAATAAAACTTGACATGTCTGATAATTGTTGTCTTCAGAACAGCTTCTGAGAGTTTTAATTTTACAGGTTTCCAGTGCAACATCAACATTTGTAACGACATTCTCATCATCAACATCTGTCATCCAGTATTATCTGCTTCATTGTTTTCCAGTCCCATTTGGTACGTACTCAGCATTTCAACACAAAAGCAGTGTAATATCAACTGCTAAACTTGTGGAATCATTTTGTCTACTGACAGAAACTAAAGTTCATGTTTCTGCAGCTGCATACTTTGTGTTCCTCTCTATCATTGCGGCTTTCACAGACCAGCACATGATCCGAAGACTAATTATACTCCTAGGCCGAGCTTCCTTAATCATCTTCATTCTAGCCTTGACCATCTTTGTTAGCGCCATCAGTCTAGGCAAGGACAGTCTTGATTCTGATGCTTTGAAGTCTCAATCATTTTGGATGTCTAATATATTGCTTTGGGTTGCTACAGGAGGTGTTGTTGTGGCACACATGGTGGAAAAGTTAGAAAGGAGACAACACATGGGTTTTGAGAATTTGTGCTACTGTTCCTAATAGCTCCTTTCAAGATGATGCATCTTGAAAATTTAAGCAGGTGACTTCATGTTCTTTCTTTCTCTTCACCCAAAAAAATCCTATTTTTTTCTGATGAAGAGTTCTTCATTTTAGTTGTCCAGAACTAAATGTAGGACTTAAGCCTTAATTAATACTCTTAAAATAAAGGGAAAAAACCCTTTTCTTCAGCTCTTTACATAGTTGCACCTGTCACTCATGAAGCTTCTTATGAGTAGCTAGTTCATTGCATGGTTCCAAGTAATTACCCTGCATAACATTTTTGCTGTTACCAAACATTAGATAAATAACTACATAAATAATTCGATGCAACAAACGAAGATCAAACTGCACTGTTGAGCTAGACAAAGAAAAGCTGCTAGTTTCTATAATTGGACCTCTGTCACTATTATTAAAAATCTGTTGAAATGTGCTCATACTTGTTATGTCAAAATAATGAGGAAAAGAAATAAAGAATGTATGCATCCTAAATCCCGAAAAGTCTTTAGCACAAGAGATGTAAACAAATTTAGATTAGTGCTTATCCATGATAAACACCAGAAAGAGCACAAAGACATCAGAAAGAACAACAAAGTTTGAATCACAATTCCTTCCGAGTAATAACAACAGAATTACAGAATGCACCACAACAAGCAGAAAATATGAGGGGGAAAGATATGAGGAGATTTCCTACTTGAGTCGAGGATACAACAAACTGACTCCAACGTGCGTGCAACGTTTGTTCTTTGCAAGTAGTGCAAGTTAAGCTTCACATTGATATCCTCAAAGGCTCGCATCATCAATACCAATGACGAGACTCAGATAACCTTCCTATGCCCTCCAAACGCCCAAATCTGCCAGAACAATAAGCTGTCTGAGTATACTGGAACTGAAGCAACCTCGAACTCAATGTATCTTTGCAAGATAAATTAGCATCTTGAGCCACAGATATAACTCATTGATGCTTGCTTGAACATATTTTATATAAAACTGAAGCTCAAACATTTTTGGAACTCCAACCCATAGGTTTAAAATGTCAACCATCATACTGACTATAAAATTCAAGTCACCCTTTCGGGTTCAAGTTTCAAGCAAAAAGGAAATGGAGATACCATACTACTGGAAATAACAGGAACAGGAAGAATTAGTATAGAAGGAAAGACAATGTTTCTCCTTATGGTTGTATAGGTGGTTGAACAGGATAAAACCCAAAGTATCAAAAAGACGGTGGACTACAGCCTAACAGTGCCAACCTTTGAGCACTAATCAGACTCCTTATGCAAAAGCTAGTTAGAGTTATACATGTCATGCAACTTGAAAACCAGAAGTAAAATCCAATCCTAAAAATTCACATCAGGGAGTGATAACAGTGTATTTATCAAATAGGCATTTGAAAAGGACCCTCAACATGTCTTCAAGATATATAAGAAACTTATATATTCACCTTTAAGAAACTATAAGAAACATTTGAAAATTCACCTTTAAGTTCTTGTCCCAGCTTCCTGTGCATAAAGCACTACCATCAGAAGACAAACCTAAGCAGCTTATGCGGGCCTCATGAGAATTCTGAGATGTTCCCAAATTCAGAACCACCTACAGAGTAAATGAAAATGGAGATACCATAATCAAATTTCACATGTTAGCATCTGAATTTTAAAAATCAATCAGGCACACATATGGTTGATGTTATTTTTTACACATATGGTTGATGTTTAACAATGCATGTGCAGCTGCATGTGCATCTTTTCCTTCTGTTTTGCTATTTTCTCCCTTTTGGGAGGGAAATATTGGGAATCAGGAATTACATTTGAGTTGCTTTTGTGCTCAATCATATAGAAGATTATGTTTTTCCAATTGGCATAGATGATTCATACCTCAGCCATTAGTGTATCCCACACATAACAGTCACCACTGGAGTATCCAGCGAATAGAAGTCTTCCTGATATAGAGAACGCAATGGATGTGACAATTGGAACATCATTGTCATCACCTTCATGCTGTTGACTGTACACCTGAAGCTGGTGCCCAGTTCTCATGTCATATAACCTGCATGTACTGTCATCAGAGCCAGTCCCAAATCTCTGCCCATCAGGGAAGAACTTGACAGTGTTAACATCACCCTGGTGACCATGGTATGTCCCAACTGCCCGACTAGCAATTCGAGTATCCCATAATCGAGCAGTCATATCACATGAACCAGAGACAAACATGTTCGAGTTTGAACTGTTAATTGAGACACTGTAGAAAGAAAAAAAAAAAAAAAAAGATATTGCATTAAAAGGGATAGTGTCATACCAGAGTGTGCAAGAATAGGGAATATGAAAAGCTCATGGACAGATATTGCTTCATTGGACATCATTTCATAAAAATGCAAGTTTTCTAAAACATGTAAATGTGTAATTTCAAGGATGACAAGACCTTCATGGCAACCACTTCCTCTGAATTTATAACAAAAGGTGGGAAAAACAAGCTCGCATGGTGGACAAAAGCTTTCGTACATAGAAATATCTATAGTAGTAAATCTTAAATCATAATTTCAAATAAATGGTTAGACCAGTATTTACTGGTAGGCCAAACATTGTAACACATCATGGCACACACTTTTCTTGTTTAGTTATTTTTTTCAAATGACACCAGGTAATACAAATCAAACAGCCGAAAAGGCAAAAGATAACCTGACTTAACTGCCCCAAAGAATCAGCTGCTAAATCATGTCCAGAAGAAAAAACTACAGCTAAATATTTCAGCTTTGGCACTTTAATTCAATTTTAAGTTTATGAAATGTTACATGACTTAATGTAATTGTATGATATAAAAAGCTACCACCTCAATACATCAGCTGTGTGTCCTGAAGGAAATTCACCACCAAAAACAGAAATCCTTTGGCCAGTTGTGACATCCCACAGAACACATGTTTGATCGCCTGAACTGGTAATCAAGCGAGTTTCTTGATCTGGAACATACTGACAAGAATACACATAGCCCTTGTGCCCGGTAAGTATCCTTGAAACTGGAATGTTGCCATCTCTGTCAACTTGAGAATTGAGATTGAAAATAGAGCAGGCACTGTCAAGTCCTCCACATGCAACAGACTGCCCATTCGGCGCAAATGCACAGGTCATGACCCAGGGGCACTGAAGTTTTATAGCATGTGTTTTCTGACTCGTTAAAGCATTCCATACAATCAGTCTCCCATCTTGTGAAGCACTAACTATCCGATTCCTTTCAGGTGTCCAGTCCAATGAATAAACCTGACAGATATCTTAGAAAAAAATTTGATCAGTCCCTAGAAGAGGTCACAATATGAAAAGAATTTAGGAAGATTGTACAAATATCAAGGTCACCTTGTGGAGACAAAATTTTAGCTGAACAATTCTAATCAAGCAGTTCACTACCCTTTTCTTTTTCCATTTCTTCACTTAAATAAGCTAGCCTAGAAGACTTTATTGAGAAAAAACCATTAACAGATTGCCCTCAGTAGAGCTCAATGGCATGAAAAGATAGATGTGGTTGAATCTCCAAATAGACAGAAAACATAGCTAGTATGTTATATCATCCAAACAACAATGAGTGTTACATTATGGCTTGTTGTTGTTGTCTCCAATAACAGCAACTAGGTAACAACTCTGGCCAGATAACAACTATCCCAAACAGTTGGAACATTACAGTTTCTTGTTTGACATCGTAATTGTTGTATTTCATATCAGCCTTCATTACCTTCTCTCTTCGACCTTAGGTCTCATTTACAAGTTGCATCCAATACATACCTAAAACTAGTAGTATAGCAATGTCTTCCAAATGGAAACAAGAAGCTCTGGTGAGCATTCTCATACTTGGGTCCCCAATCAACACTAAATTGAATGACCTCTAATAGTGTGGATATACTCGAAGGCTTCCCTAGACCTATGAATTAAGACGAGGTATCTATCAACATCATAATGATATCACATTCTTCCACTTTATAAATGTCAATAAGTTCATTTCACCTATAAACATTTATGGGGAACGTGAGGGTTGATATTAAGGGTCCTCACTGAACTAGCATGGACATCCAAAGATATTTGATCCCACATACAAAACAAAAAAGCTTTAAATTCTGCAAGTGGAAGAGGAGTAAACGAACGTCATTTATATCACATGCATGCCACCAGTGAAGCCAAAGTCAGAATCTCAATGGACTAAAACAATTTTTCACGGTTTGGCTTCATTTTACTATTACAAATGAAGTAAGCTTAATAGCATAGATGGAATACTGGTAATAAGAACCCAGATAACTCAAGCCCAAGTTAACGGTAGTTGAAGTGTCTTTTACAAGTCAATCTAAGTCTTAGCCTACTTTTGACTAAGTCAGCGTGTCACTTCTTATACCAAGTCACCAAAGTAGCAAAATCAGAATCTCTATTTAATTTATTGTCATCAAAAATGAAGGGAGTTTCATTACTAAGTATTTGGTTTTTCCCATTTCTCCTCCAACTTCGTCAGATTAGGACAGCAACCTGATAAGAATATATACATATATAAGGAGAATCATAAATCATGGCTTACAAATGTCCATCCAAGTTCAATGTAATTCTTTACTGCCAAATATGTGAAAGGCACATGCAGAGGAAAGACTGATTTTTGTTAAAGGTACACACACTTAAGGAACGTCATGAATGAGATGCTATAAAAAGTTCCAAACGAACCATAAAATCCAATCAATCAAATTATTTCATCTTTAGCAAAAGTAAGCAAAAACGATCAGAATACCTTGCCAGTGTGGCCCTGCAAGGTCCTGCAGCAAATCAGATCCGTGGAGTTAAAACTGATCGCCGATCTCCCTTGGCTCTTAGCAAACGCCGCCACTACAATATCAGCACAAAACATAAACCGCTAGAGAGTTAAAAAAAAACGGTTTAAATTTAGAAAATTAGGAAAGCCAATTCGACCATCAGTATCAAGAAGCAACTGCCTCCTCTGCTTCAACCGCTCCCTCAGAGAATTGACCGTAGCCGTCGCGGCTATGTGCCGCTCCTTCAGCTCCGCAACCGACATCGACGAACCCAAACCCTAGCTCCAACAAACCCAAAGAAAAAGACAATGAATCAACGGTCTCCTGTCACGATTAACATCACCAGATATCAATAGCACCCCGATCCGTCATTTCCAGACCACAAATTCGTACCTTGGAGCAGAAAATAGCAGAAATCGAACAAGCGCGGGGGCTTGAGGATGAATGCGAGGACAGAAGGACGACCACGGGAGAGGTGTGGGGGAAGGCGAAGAGAAGAGAAGACGAGTGCGTGCTTACGTTGGACGATTCTATCTCCACGCGCTCGATCTCTTTCTATGCGCCGCGTCGCACAATTAATCCAGTACGAGAACGTCGGATCACCGGTTGTTGCTTCAAATCCGCGTAAGCACGGATCATAAAGCACCACGATGATCATCAACCAATGAGAGCGAATCTCAACACCATTAGATTATTAAGATAAACAGGAGATGGAAATACATGAATTTGCTGCATTCAAAATTTACTTAAATTTAAATGTATCCAATTAATTCAAGAGAATTCAGCTGGAATTTGAAAAACCTTATTTGATAAAAGAGTCATCTTTTTCTTATATATATGGAGGATGAATTCTTTAAAAAATTCCTAAAATTTTTTAAATAAAATCTCAAATTTAAAAAAATTATCCGTGAACGTCTTTTTCTTTCAAAATAATAATTCTATCTATCCTTGTTGATCATTGACTTTCGGTTTGTGGACCATTCCCTGAATACATTTAGTGAGGAAAGTGTAATAATTCTCATTGAATCCCGTTAGACCTACGATGGGGGTGTAATTTCCACAACCAATAGTGGAGACTATGAGCTGCCCTCTCCTCTTCCTATCTTGCCCACGACCAATGGTAAAGAGTGAGTGTGAGAAGACCATGCTGACAAGAAAGAGGTACAAGAAAACTATACAACCTCTTTGTAATTAGCAATAAAAATACAATAATAAACTCTCGTATGAGGATTATGGGTTAAGATGGATAACCAAAGTTATAAGCGACAATACAATATCGTGTGAGAGCACAACTAGGAGGTGCAAGACATATGTGAGTCGAAAGTAATATTTTAAATTTATTAGGAGTAAAATATTTTTTTTACATGGCCAGTGAAGCTTTGCGAAAATTTTTCAAAACCATATGAGAAATTATCAAACTAACAGATTTTTTTCACCAATTCACCAATTTATATATAAAAATATAAAATCACAAGCACTAGTCTTAAATCCAATTATGTGGATGGTGAATCCAATCCTTTCTACTGAACGCTTTTAATACAACAAAAGTTGAAGATTCTTAGGCATATATCCTTAAGACAAAAAGCCACCGAATCAGCTTCCAAATCTCTGCTCCCTTCCACTAAGGCATCTGAAGATGTTCATAAACATTGAGCTTGTAAAAGTGTTGAGCTCAGGCACATGTTTTCACATTTTAATCAGGACAGTATGATATGAAGCCTTCTTAAATAAGCTTTGCTCTGTTTTGTGCTGTGAAAGCTGACAATGTTGCTGAAAATAAACACCCATTTCTGGTTGTTTTATCAGCACAAGTTAGAGGCACTATTACATGCGGTAAAAGTCAACAACAGCACAACTTACAGTCACTATTCCATTATTCGATCACAGGAACATGGGAAATTTAATGCAGTCCGTGGAAGAAGAGGTAGTACAATCATATGGTTCATGAGATAGCCATCACAGAGAGAGTGAGAGAGAGAGAGAGAGAGACTCCAAACTTCCACCTCACCTTCGATAATTGGGAAGACGGACTCGAAGGAAGTCTCCTTAACCCAACTTTCTAGATTCCACGCATCTCCTGCGCCCACCACTAAGCACACCACCATCTTTAAGCTAACAAAAGCTAATCTTCTTTTTATTCTTCTCTGCATCAGAGACAGTTCCCAGTCTTGGCAGCTTCGTCTCACTGGCCTCCAGCATACACACAGGTCGCGTAACCTGCATCCCAGAACATAATAGCATTAATTAATGTGAAGACAATGTGTAGCATGAATCATGGCCGTCAGATTTGGACGTACTGGGGTTGTCGGTGGTGAGGACGGCGGAGTCGCTGAAGCCGCACTCCCAGGAGTTGCGGCCGGATGCCTGGTAGAACTGGTTCATGGCGTACGCGGCGTGCGATCGGACAGTGTTGGGGAGGTAGCACGCCCCGCCCTCCTGGATCGGACGGCAGTCCACGCCCGGCTGCCCGCACGCGTAGTCCAGGTTCGCCTGCAGCTCCGCGTCCGTCGCTCCCTCCCTCGGCACGCACCACCCCTTCGCAGCCGCCGCCCTCGGCGCTGACGTGCCGTTCCCCTGCGTTCCATCTCCACTAAACGATCAGCATCACACGGCTGTACAACTCGTGTTCAGTTCAGCTACACGTCTTTTCCCTGACCTGGGCGGGGGTGGAGGAGGAGGACGACCTCGCGAGACCGATGTCATAGGTGGGGGTGAGGTCGGGGTGGAAGAGACCGAAGGAGCGCTCCGAGGTTGGCCCGGGCTTCAGGTCCTCGTCGTAGAGAGCGAAGATGTATGTGTCCACCGACTTCCCGGGCGCCATGGGCGTGCCCGCCAGGGAGCGCAGGTGCGACACCAGACCGCCGTTGTAGGCTTGGGCGTTCTCCACCGTCGCCCCTACTTCCCCCTCGTCCCCACGGTACGGCCACCCCGTCTCTGCCACCACGATCTCTGCTCCCTTGAAACCCACCGCCGCCACCGCCGACCCCACCCCGTCCAGCTGCGCGTCGAACATGTTCATATAGGTAACTCCCGAGCCGGCGTCGTGCCGCCCGGCGTTGGGCTGGAAGAGGCAGAAGGCGAGTGTCTCCGGCCGCGGGTCGCTCCGGTAGGCGAAGTAGGGGTAGGGGTTGATCATGAAGGGCGCCCCCGTCTTCTGCAGGAAAGCGAGCACGCCCTTGAGGGCCGGCACGAGGTCGGCGTGGAAGGCTCCGGATGAGGGCGGATCGGACTGGGCGAGGATCGTCATGATGTGGACGGTGGAGACCTTGATGCCGGCGGAGGGCGCGGCGGCGGAGAGTGCGTTGTACATGTTCTGCATGGCCGGGAGGAGCTGGGAGGCGAGAGTGGCGTCGCCAGAGGTGAGGGCCTCGTTGCCAACGGCGACGACGGAGATGGAGGTGGCGGGGACGAAAGGGAGGACGTTGGCGGAGACCCAGTTGGTGGCGGCGGAGGGATCGGAAGCCAGGGAGGCGATGTCGCCGTTGGCGGCGCCGATGACCACGGAAATGTCGGTGCCGGCGAGCGCACGGAGGATTGCCGGATCCGCGCCGTAAAGGCGGACCTTGGAGATAGTGGTGGACTTGAGAAGCCGCGCCGTCTCCTCAGGCGGCGGCAGGTTATCCGCCACCTGCCCGTAGTTCACCCCGATGAACGACTGCGACTCTTCCATCGACAAATCAAAACAGAACAACCAATTAATCCATAAAAATTCCTCGAATTTGCATCAAGAACACTCTTTTTCCTCGCATCTCCAGAATTGGAGACATAAAAACAACAATTGCTACACATGTAAGATCAATAAAACCTCAAATAATTTCTTGCTCAATCGTCTTCCTTTTCACAGTTCGCTTGGTAAGAACAAGACTTCTTAACTTAAATTGAACAAGTGCGACTCTTTCGATCAGAGGACGAGAAAGAGTCAATCAGAAGCTTAAAAAACTCCAAATTTCACATAACCTGATCAAAGATCTCTGCTTTTTTCCATTAAAAAAAAGGAAAAGTGTTTATTCAACTTAACTACATCATCTTCCCTCGGAATCTTCGGAGCAAAAACAGAGTAAGCAGGAAAAAGCTTACTGGCGAACGGTACGGCAAGAAAGAGACTCCAAGCAGCGATCACGATGGACAGAGAATTCCTCAAAGCCATGGCGTCAGAGACTCCAAGCAGCTCAGAAAGTAGAGTGAAAGATGTTGCTCGATTAAAGAAGCTGCGCTTTATATGGCAGAGACGTGAGGTAAAAAGGAACACGATTCCAATAATTCTCAATCAAATCGGTAAAAGAGAAAGGAAAGCATGGAAGAAGAAGAAGAAGACGACCCTTTTTCTAACTTCCAGTGGGAACTGGCTGGTGATGTCGGGGGTAAAGGCGAGGCGAACACGAATCCAGTGGCCACGTGCTGCGCTGCACGCAAGAAAGCGAGCGTCCGTCCCGGTGGACCGAGCAATGCACCGACACGTACGCAGCAATAAATAATCGTTCTGAATCCTTCCTTACATTGCAATTGGGAGATATCTGATGCTCCAGCTTGCCTCCTCTGATCTCAGGGATATTGCAGTGAAAGGGGATGGATATATGACCACAGGAGAGTGAAGTGTCAATGCTAAGGCGCAGGAGTCGATGAGACGATACGGTGTTCCTTGAGATAGACATCCTTCCTCGTTAATTCTAAATAGTGATAAAATATATTTTGGATTTCAGTTAAGTCACGATCCACATCGCATCACACCCTTGTTAAGTCAGCATCGCATCCGAGACCCATATAAGGAGGCACCCCCTCGGCAAGTCCCGCCCCGAAAAGCTCAAGACGACGTCGTATAGTGTCATTCCGTGTATACCGAGTGGCAGTCGAATAACGGTATCATCTCATTGTACGAGGATCGATCGCTATGCTAAATCCATGTACGATCGATCCCCGCGCAATGATATAAAAGCCTCTGACTCGCATCTGGCTAGGGACAGAGAAAAAAAAAAGAAAAAAGTAACTACTAATTTAATCTATAATGGACCAAAGTCTGAAATCCCCGACGAGAGCCTTTGTGCAGAAGCTCGGTTACCCCCCGGAGGCACGGTGGTCCCAACCAAGAGACACCTTCCCAGAAGACGACGTCGACAGTCCGACCCTCAATCCAGCCGACTCCAACACTTCTTCCGATCGACCTAGAACTCCGAACATCGACTTATCAACCAAGTCGTACTGACTCCTCGACTACGGCGCATCAGTTCACCAACAAATAGTTCTTTTGTTATTAGTATCAGCTCGTTAAATCATGTCAGATATCTTAATAGAAATCAGACCAATAATCACACAAAAATCAAATGTTTAGGAATCCATTCGAATCCAAGTTCAATTTTAGGAACCAATTTGATCGGTTGACGGAGCCAAGACGAGGCGTGCCGTGCAAGTGGCAGTCTCGTTATTTAGAGGTGAAACAAGGTCATACGTGGGAGTTTCCACACTATAATTACTTTGCGACGACTAACCACACGCCCCTATTACACCGCAGCCGTAGCGTACCACTGCCGGCGTGCACCAGCCCGCCTCGATCGATCTCCATCGCCGTATTTGCGTTCGTCCCCCTCGTTCTGAGAGAGAGAGAGAGAGAGAGAGAGATGTGGCGCAGCTGCGTGTCGCGGGCTCTCCGCTTTCCATCGAACAAGGCGTCGATCGGCGGCGCATCGATCCGTTCCTCCCAGTCGGCCTCCAGAAACCTCTCCACCGGCTCGGTATGCGTCTTGATCCGTTATGGTTAGGGTTTTCGTTACATCTCTTTTTATGGATCGGAGCGCTGAAATCCAACTCGCCTTTTGCTTCTTTTCGAATTCGTTCAAAAGTTCCCTATCTTTGTTGGCATTTCTGTTGGCCTTCCTTATCACGTATGATCGCGATCGTCGTACTCCTTTATCATCTATCTAGCTCTTTTTTTGGTCCCCGAGTGATTTCTGTTTTCTTCCCATCTTCCAGTGATATGTTGACCCGCAATGCTCCTGTAATCAATAGGGTTTTGGATTTGTTAAAGCTGCGTCCGCAATAAAGAAGGAGATTGTTGGCATTCCCTTTTTTTGCTATTGGCAGCACCTTATTTCATACAACCACTAAAATGAATAAAATATATTTTTACTAAATAGAGCCCCCCTAAATTACCAATCATACCCTTAATTTCCACTACCTTTCATTTATCATATTATCTTTTTCTCATCATTTTATGACACTGACAATGAAAATGCTCTGACGATAATAATAATAATAATAATAAGGAAAGAAAATAGATGTTTTATGATAAGAGTTGAAAGAGTTTGTTGGAATTAAATGATGAGTTGGGGGCATTTATATCCATTTGTAAAGGGTATATGAGGAATATTAAAAGTTCTTAAAATGATGTTGTAAATAGCAAAAAAAGGTTGCCAACAGAAATCTCCCAAAAGAATAATTATGTTACTAATTAATTTAGTACTTCTTCATCTATTTGGTAGTTTGATACTGTTTTGTTTTGATTAGACTGATTTTTTTTCTCATCATATGGCTTAGACTGATGTGGATTAAAATGTTATGTACGTTAGACTAATTTCTATCATATAAATGCATTTCAGCTTTTGGTTCTTCTTTCTTTTCTTTAGGTTTGTTTTTTTATGATGTTTACTTGAACATGAGTTAATCCTCATGGCTGCATTTCAACTAATGTTTCATCTGCTTTCTTCTTTTTAGGTTTATTTCTTTGTGATGTTTTCTATAACATGAGTTCATCCTTGTCTTTTAGCTATTTGTTCTTTCTAAAACGCATCTCATTTCTGCTATTGCGATGGCCACATTGATTTCATAGCTAATGACAATGTTTTTTTCTTTGGCTTGTGATTTAGGATGGGCGGAATTCGTACACCATTGTCGATCACACATATGATGCTGTCGTCGTAGGGGCTGGAGGTGCAGGTCTAAGAGCAGCCATTGGTCTCTCGGAGCATGGCTTTAACACAGCTTGCATTACCAAGCTCTTCCCTACTCGCTCCCATACAGTTGCAGCACAGGTTCTCAAATGTCAAAACCAAGAATCTTCGTATTAAATTTTTCTTCACAAACATTGATATTGATTATACATCGTGAATTTATCATGAGGACCTATTTATTAAAATGATATGAATTATATAACAAGAAAAAAGAAAGAAAATTTGAAATTTATTGCTTTATTTATTTATTTTTCTTTTTGTTGCTTAATGAAAAGAAAATGCTTATAGAATCATTTATATCAACCTATTAAATGACAAATAGGCAATTGAACAGTCGTACAACAAAACCAAGACAGAGTTTGTGTACAAGAAAAAGATTGACACCATGATTTGCCTGTCCAACATCCCTATTCTACCTGTCTGGTTCAAAAGATGGTTGAAGCCAAACTCCCCAGCTATTTAGGACTGCAAGACCATTCTATTACCGCTGAGGCAGTTGATCTATATACAGGACCTGCAAGGTCATCTGTTTTCAGGGAACTATTATAGCTGGGGCCTGTTGCAGCGTAGGGGTCCTTTTGTGTCATGATAATCTTTGCCAAGTTGACACTTGGTTACTTAAGTTAACTATCAATTCAAAATGTCATGTCACTGAAAACAAAGTTTGTGATAACTATAACTGAGTTCTTTCAATGTCTGTGATAAAATTGTTCTATATGCCACTTGTATACAATTACCATGATAGTTAGAGTGCAGGATATCTGTATTTGGCATTATTAGGTTTGCCTGCAGGATAGACATACTAAAGAAATAAGTAAACAGTTTATATGTTATCTAATTTGTTTTCCCTGCAAGGTCACAATTTTTTAAATCTCAGATTCTCAGTTGGATTTTGACTTTGACAAACAATAAGTTTATCCAAGCATCTAACTAAAAAGTTAAGTAATATGACACAACGAAATAAAGCATTACATGCTAAAAAGTAAATGAGAAGAAAAAGTTCCTTCTGAAATGTTGATTTACACAACAAGAAGCTGCAATGTCCCATCTTGGCAAACTTCATTCAAAAGAAAAACATCAAGAAGAACTGCTAGTTTTGAAGTGCTGCCTTAACAAGCCAAAAACCTTTTATGTCAATGAGAAAAAAGAGAGGAAAATGTAGGATATCTCATAAAAAGTTGTGAGGGCTCAAGTTACTTAAAAAATCCCACCATTTTAGGGTTGACAGTAATTATTCTTGGAATTTGTTGCACTGGGACAAAATCCTTGTCAGCATGCATTCCTATACTGACCAGTGACCACAACAATTTGGAGAGACAGATTATAAGATGCAAATTCCGAACACAAGATGCAAATACACATTCTGTAGACGATGCTACCAAGTTTTTCTCCCTATAGATAAATACTGCCAGTATCACTTGCCATACTGTGTGCAACTGGAATAAAAGGTTCCTATAGAGACAAACATAATTGACCTGTTCAGATAGTTGATGATTTTTATAGCATGGATTCCTTGTTTCTGCTTCTAGGATTTATTTTTCTTTATTAAAGCTGTTGTTATCTTTCTTTTTGTGGTTTTGTTGAGCTTGTATGTTGCTAACCATGGCAATACATCCAAAGCAGGGTGGTATAAATGCAGCTCTTGGAAATATGACTGAAGATGACTGGAGATGGCATATGTATGATACTGTCAAAGGGAGTGACTGGCTAGGTAATCAAATTTCTAATGAAATTTGTGTTTGGCACTTTTAAAATTTTTTTGCATGCGTTTGGAGCAGTTGCAGGATATTTATTTTATGGTACGGAAAACCTACATTCTAAAGCAAAATGAGGGCCCATAGTAGACCTAGAAACTTGTTAGGAGCAAAATGAATCAGAACTGGGACATATATGTATTCAAAAAGCAGATAAACAGCTCCTATGATGGCTAAGAAACAAAGAAATTTTAGTGCAGTGAACAGACAGCAGAGAAATTGCTTCTGCAGAATTATAGTAAATAGATGATGATAAGAGATACAATTTTAGAAGAACAAAACAGAAGGGGAGGGGGAAAAAAGAGAGGTAGAATAAATAAAATAAGTGATTGGCATTTAAAACAAATGTAAACTCACATAAATTTATTCAAATAATGATAAATCACCAAAGGAACAACTTCCTTTCAGAATTCAATTTGACTTCACCTAGGATTCTTGACTGGTTTCTGAAAGGAAGGAAAATATCTTCCTAATTGACCACTTAATATCAGTCAGCTGTATACCTTAAGAAGTTTAAGATCGGTTCAAGTTTCTTATTCTAGAACAACCGACAAAATGAGGACTGCCACTATGAGCAAAACTCCTATCTAATTTCAACCTAGAATTTGGTCCAAATACATCAATTCTTCACTTTTTTGTGAATAAGAATAATTGATGATAGTTGCAATGTGAACACTAGAAAATTAAATAACTATGGCTAGTCTTCAAACAACTCAACATACATTTAAATCATACTTTGTCTAGAACTAATCCAGTCCTACTGCTTTTCCAACTTGCATTGTGTCCTCAAAGAAATGTTTTATGGAATACTTGTCTTTGAAATGTAATATTTAACTTAAACACTGTTTTCTCTTTGATTAATATTAAGTTTGCTTGGTCATATTGCACACACATGTATATTCTTGACATGCAATTGGTTTTGTGTTCCATCAGGTGATCAGGATGCCATCCAGTACATGTGCAGAGAAGCACCAAAAGCAGTCATTGAGTTAGAAAATTATGGGTTGCCTTTCTCAAGGACTGAAGATGGAAAAATTTATCAACGGGCTTTTGGAGGTCAAAGTTTGGATTTTGGAAAAGGTGAAAATGCCTTGGTGCTTGTGCATTTCCATTCAGCCAGTTATTGGTACATATTCTTCGGCTCTAACTTCTCGACTTTTTTGGCATTTTAGGTGGCCAGGCATATCGTTGTGCATGTGCTGCTGATCGAACTGGTCATGCTTTACTGCATACACTTTATGGGCAAGCAATGAAGCATAACACCCAGTTTTTTGTCGAATACTTTGCTTTGGACCTTCTCATGGATAAATCTGGTAAAAGCACAGGTCATTTATCAATAATTTTGTATATATGCAGGCGGCACAGATTGAAGATAAGGAAGATGGAGAGATGAGGAAAATAAGTGATGGTAATAGAGTTTTTGGAGGAAGCTAGGTTGGAGGTTGGAGGAAAAGAGAAAATCAATAATTTTTTCATTAGATTTTCATTGGGTATCCAAATACTCAAAATGCAATATTTTAATGATAATCTCTTATATTCATTTTTAACTAGTGGATTTCTACCATATATGGCAATATGTAGTTACATAAACAAATACAGGGGCCAGGATGCAATGTTGAACAAAGGAAGGTGTAAATTGTAATATTGAGGAAACACAGGTTGTTAAGTAAAATTTTATTGAAATGATCATTTATGATCTAAATATTGTTAGATGAATACATGCAGAAATTCAACTTATTTTGATACTTCCACATGATCACATTTAGTATATAACTTGTGTCTTCTTATCTACTTGTTTGCCTTGCAATTGTTTGTCAACTATGCTTCAGGTGCTTGCCAGGGAGTGATTGCATTGAATATGGAAGATGGGACCCTCCATCGTTTTCGTGCTGCCAAGACGATCTTGGCCACTGGGGTACTAATATTCACCATGTGATGTATATTTCCATTTAACAGCAACTTTTTTTTTAATTTTTAAGTTGCATTTTGTTTGTTACAGGGCTATGGCAGAACATACTTTTCTGCGACTTCTGCTCATACATGTACTGGAGATGGAAATGCTATGGTTGCACGAGCTGGATTGCCACTACAGGTTAGTCCATTTGTTTCCATGGTAAACGAAGATGAAGTTTTCAGGCATGCTTGACTGGTTAGTCTTCCTGCAGGATCTTGAGTTTGTACAATTCCATCCTACAGGCATATATGGTGCTGGGTGTCTCATCACTGAAGGTTCGTACTCCGTAGTAGTTATATTGCTTCCAAGTTCTGCTTTCTACAATATAGTTGGTTTCATGCTGATAGTGATCGTCTAATGTATATAATAAATCTCGTGAGGCACACTTCTTAGTTTGTTTTCCATGTACAAATTTTAGAATATTAACTTAGTCTCATTACATTTCCCTATTTCAAATGCCATTTTAGGATCTCGAGGTGAAGGTGGTATCCTTAGGAACAGTGAAGGTGAACGGTTTATGGAGCGGTATGCTCCTACAGCCAAGGATCTTGCATCACGTGATGTGGTTTCAAGATCTATGACAATGGAAATAAGGGAAGGTCGTGGTGTAGGTATGAACTGAATGATAGTTTCCAATATCTTTGTTTGATGTTAATCCTATAACTATAGAGTCAGGTCATATGGTTTTTTCTAATATTCCTCAGGACCACTGAAGGATCACATTTATCTGCATCTGAATCATTTACCTCCGGATGTTCTCAAGGAAAGACTTCCTGGGATATCTGAAACTGCTGCTATCTTTGCTGGTGTTGATGTCACTAAGGAACCAATCCCTGTTTTGCCTACAGTTCACTATAATATGGGTGGTATACCCACAAACTACCATGGGGAGGTACTTTTGCTTATGGAACCAATCCTGAAACTACTTTTAGCTTTTCTCATTGCATGTTTTTAATTATGTTCTACCATTTGTTTTGTTTTTCAGGTAGTATGTATAAACGGTGATGATCCAGATGCAGTAGTTCCTGGTTTGATGGCTGCTGGAGAGGCAGCCTGTGCATCAGTTCATGGAGCTAATCGGCTTGGTGCTAATTCCCTTCTTGATATAGTTGTTTTTGGTAGAGCCTGCGCCAACAGGGTTGCAGAGATCTGCAAGCCAGGCATGTCTTCGTAATTCATTTTTAAGTGAGGTACAACTGATTGTGTGAACTGAATACCATAAGAAAATATCCTTATGGAATTTGCAGGGCAGAAACAGAAGCCTCTTGAGGAAGATGCTGGAGAAAGGACTATTGCTTGGCTGGACAAATTGAGAAACTCAAATGGTTCACTACCAACATCAAAAATTCGTCTAAATATGCAACGAGTGATGCAAACTAATGCTGCTGTGTTTCGAACTCAAGAAACTCTGGAAGAAGGTAAATCCTCTTCCCTTTAGAGGAAAACTTTTCTCATATTTTGTGTTTCTTGGTTGATATCACCTAGTAACTGTGAATTTTGTATAGTTTTTAAAGATGACCTAATCACATCGGCCAGATGAATATTATTCTGGTGGTTTAAGTGCTAATTACGTTATTCCCTGGCTTTAATTTTAGGTTGTCAGTTGATTGACAAGGCTTGGGAGAGTTTTCATGAAGTCAAAATCCGTGATCGAAGTTTGATATGGTTGTTTATTTTACACACAGAATCCATCATTTATAATTTCACAATTATTTTCAAGGCTTTTGACATTTTCATTTGCTTGTAGGAATTCTGATTTAATAGAGACTATAGAGCTTGAAAATCTTTTGATAAATGCATGCATAACTATGCACTCAGCTGAGGCAAGAAAGGAAAGTCGAGGGGCTCATGCTCGTGAAGATTTTACGGTTGGATTTACTTTTCGAGAGATGCCTGATCAATTTTCTCTGCTTAATGTTGTTTTTTCTTTGACGTTACACCACATGTTCTTTTTTTTGCAGAAAAGAGATGATGAGAAGTGGCTGAAACACACATTAGGGTCAGTATATATATCTGTTTTTCTATGTAAAACTAGCATCTTGACTTTGGATATTTAGAAAGAATGCAAAGTTCTAAAATTACTCCATGGTTACCTTGTCATATGTGCTGCAAATACTTAGTCTAGTGGAAACTGAAAACTCTCAAGTTTCCAACATCACTCTTCTTTATGTGGAAATGAACTTTTTATAGTCATCAAATGTCTTCTATCATTATGGCATCAGAGACATTCAACGTGCATTTAGAAATTGTGTAGTTGATATGCATGGATGTTGAAATGTGCTCCTAACCCTAGAATTTTTAACATATTGGGAAAATTCAGCAGTTGACCTCAATGTTTGGTTCTCCATAGACTGTTAGATGTCATCTGTATCTATTTAAGGCGCAAAAGCAAAATTGCTCATGTGAATAGCAATGCTTGTGAGGTTATACATTGTTGCTGCTTGGGATTTTGGGCTACTTAGTGGTTCATGTCTATTGAATTTCTGACATAATCCACTTAGAGGGCATTTGCATGATGAATTAGATAATTGATTGCTTAAAAGCTAAAGATTTCCATTGTAACTCATGTCACTTCATGTTTTATTAATATATCTGTATAAATAAATGTTAGTTGAAGACATGAAGTCGTGCTTTAGTACTTTATCTGTTTAATCATTAGATATCATGATTCACAGGATTTGAATCAGTGTTGGTTTTGGGGATCAGGATCAGGATTGGTTAGATTGGATATGTGGTTTGGAATCTGCAAAATAATTTAAAATAAGAAATTATGTAATAGAAAGAAGAACAAGAATATAGCTTAAAGATTGCTTTGAAAAATTTTATACAATAGAGAATAAAAGAATAATAATTTGATGTTGGTCTTCTGAAATAAATATTAAACATTATACAAGAGATATTAGAAAAGGAGAAAGCCATAGGTTGTTAACCTCATAACCTACTCCAGATGATAAATTGTGGCTTTAGGATGTGATTTTGTTTGATAGTGATAGTCGCTAGCCTATTATTTCATCTTTCCTCTTCTTTTTTAATCGCTGTTGATAAGCGACAAAAGGTTTTCGATTGGTGAGAAATGGATGGTATAATGAGTCATGACATTCTAGCCAAGAAATTAGGGTATATTCGGACTCTCCTTGGCTGATCAATTGTAAATGGATTTCATGGATATCAGTTGTAAATGACGTTCTAGCCAAGGAAAAGTGTATGATTGGTTGACTTTGAACTGGCAGATCAACTTTGATCCCGACATCAATCAGATGAGATATGGAAGTGGGATTGATTAAATTGAAAATCAACATCCTGTAAAGCTCCAATCTGATCCAGTGGCTTGTACTATTTGGTGAACACACACATACACACACGGAGTACTTTCTATCTGCTAATTTCCACTCTTGATGTTTGATCAACTTCTGTAATAAAGGTGTGATGTGTTATGATTTACTTCGTAGGCATTGCTCAAACATGGTTATGGATATGATCCATTAATGAGCTCCCATCCGATACCTTAGGTTGGCTCGACCAATAGGCTTAATCTACTTTGATGGCTGCATGTCCGGCTGACAAGCCAATATTGTTTAGGTGTGGATCATGAACATTGCATACTGGCATCATATATAGGTGATGTGGTGTGATTTATGGATAGCATTCATATGTCTGGGTGCATAAGCTCATGCTCGAACTGCACGCATTTGCATATGCAGGCGCATGAATTGCTTTTTAAAATCCAACACGTCTAAGAGAATGTGATACGTTCTGAGAGCTATGGTCTTTCAGTTCAAGTATAATAAATTAGAAGCACGCAGAACATGCCCTTGTTGGTTATTGAAAAAATGCCAGCAACTTTGATTAATCTTCTGATAATGGCAGTTTGGTGACGTAGTTCTCACCGTATGGAGGTTATCTTGAATAATGGCTTGGACCACGGCAATATGCATATTTGTAAAGGTGCTGCTACGTCAGATTTGGTGGTCAACACCGGATGATAGGTGTTCTTTCTGACAGTTTCTATGCAAAGCTAGCTGGCCTCATGTCAGGATAAAACCTTTGCTTCCAACGGAACAAAGTTGATATTCCTGCAAGTTAGGGAAATTGGACAAGGAAATGAAGAAAGAGAGTCGCACATAATTTTTCGTTCTTGGAATCAGATACAAATTTTTGTAATAGTATATTTGATGGTGCTTTTTGTAAAACTAAGTGTGCCCGGTCGATATGCAACCCTGCTGATCGAAGACACTGATAGTATGCATTTCTATCTGTATTTAAGTAATTCATATTTCTAATACGACTTTCTTCTTTTCCTTATTTCCTTTGATAGGTACTGGGAGAAAGAGAAGGTCAGGCTAGCGTATAGGCCAGTCCATATGAACACCTTGGATGATGAAATTGAATCATTCCCTCCGAAAGCACGTGTATATTAATTCTTGGAATTTTCTTTCCGTGATTAATTTTTGACATTTACTTAGTTGCAAGAGTTTCGAGGTGTAATAAATTTGATAACATTCAACTTGTATCGCGATGATATCCGCCTTCCTTGTTGATCTGTTGCAGAGCAACAATGCATCACAAATCATGAACACACTCCCTTTCTCTATCTCAATAAGAAACAATTTTTATGTTATTATTACCGTCCAATAGGTTTTCGTCATTTGGTCCTGTCAGATGTTGCTGATATGATCGATGGATTCATCCATGCTAGTAAAAGTACAATAGAATTCGATCTGCTTCTGTTGTGAAGGATCTTTCGAGTTCTCGAGTCAAATTGAGGTGAGCATAGATAATTCTTTAGCATGGTTGGATAGGAAAGGAATTCTTTTATCTGAGGAAGTTTAGACTTGAGCTCTATCTATCTATCTATCTATCTATCTATTCGTCTCTCTCGTGCTCTTATAAATCACACCTTCGTTTGGTTTCGGTGGATTTACTCTCCGGCATGCACAACCCGAGATGGTTTATCCAAAAGCACGCACGCACGGCAGCAGAAAGAATCGCTCATGCATCAGTAGTAGTACTCTTTTAAGAGGACCGTATCCGGGGACCAACAGGCTTTCCATCTCAGCCCTGTACACGGCAACACCAGAGTGCTTTGGCCTGACATGGGTCCAATCTTCCACACAGCTCACGGTTGGGGTCCAGTTAGCGAAGGGCGATGGTCCAAGGAGATCGTTCGAGAGACAGAGAGAGAGCGAAGGGCGATGGTCCAATGAGATCGTTCGAGAGACAGAGAGAGAGAGAACTCCTGTTGGACAGGACAAGCGGAAAGATGCGCGCAGGGACAGGTAGACGGAGACACCACGACAAGATCTACCGGTGGGGGCAGCACGTTAAACGGTGGAAAGATCCGTCAGATCGCCTCGCCGGCCCCGCGCCTTCTGTTCGATCAGGTGGCGCCCCGCCCGCACCTTCCACCCTCCCCCTCCCTCCTCTTCTTCCTTTGCTGCTAAAACCGATCATACGCTTCTAATTCAGATTTTTCTTTCTTTCTTTTCTTCTTTTGTAATCATAGATTCTGATTGTCCAGCGTATAGAATCTATCATAATTTTAATATGGGAAGCGAGTGGATTCAAAAATTCCACACTTCTTATTCTCTCTCTCTCTCTCTCTCTAAATATATATATATATATATATAAAGATTCGTGGCATGTGACTTGATGTGTAATTAATAATTTAAAATGATGAAAAAAGTGATTTGGTCAACGGTGATGATCATCATGTCACAATTTACATTGACAAATAGATATGAACATTTCCTGATGGATCTTCCGATCACCACATGGGATCTAAAAATAAAATAAGGAAAAGGAAAAAAGCAGCTTGGTTTGGAGAAGGTGAGGACTGCGTCTAAATCTTGACCTGCTCCAAACCTGTGTTGGCGAGCACGAGGCGTAGAACCGGCAACCTGCAGCGCCACCATACCATGTTGCTCTGCATCCTGCAACAACGTGCTTCTCATACTATATGGAGTCCCCACCGGCCCCCGTCCGTACCCTTTTTGCTTTGTTTTCTCCTCCCTCCCCCCCCCCCTCCCGCCCCACACACCCACACACACAACTGACAGCGACATGGATTAGGTGGTCGCTACAAAGTTTCCGAGAGTTTTCTTGACTGTTCACTTACTTCCATCAATCTCCTCCCACCACCTTAGAAAGTATAGGGAAACAGGGAGACGATGAGGAAGAGATTTCATATATGTATGTATAAGCTTTTCCTGGTTTACTCTGAATGACAAGTACCAGATTTGGCAAGTGAGTTGGTGATGATCTGTGTGGGTTTGGATTGGGTGTTAACACTTGTTTTGTGATTTGAGGAGGATCAGGAAAGACAGGATATCAGATATGGGAAAGAAGAAAGCCAAGAAGAGATCCACCCTGGAGATCACCGGCGGCGAGGGATCGACGACACCTCAAGGTACTCCAAGAAAGAGAGGCCGGCCCCGCAAACTAGCAGTAGAGGATGAGAAAGAAGAAGAGGAGGAGGCAGAAGAAGAAGAAGATGATGATGATGATGATGATTATGATGATCAAGTGGAAGAACCCAAGAAGAGGGAGAAGAAGCAGAAGAGGGTGGAAAGGGCTGCAGGAGAGGAAGAGGAGCAGAAGGAAGCAGCGGCGGCGAAGGCGGCGGCATCCTCTGCTGCGGAGAAGAAGGAAGAAGTCACTGCAGGACCGAGCCAGCAACGACACCAGGAGAAGCCCAAGAGAAGAAGGAGGAGGAAGAGTCGACAGCCTCGTAAGAGTGCTTGAATCCAATACTTTCATCACCATCGTCGTCCTCCAATTTTGCTTTCTGTTTCCATAACCTCTGTTTCGTCCGGACAAATCCATGCCATGGAACTCCTCCTCGCTTCGTCTCTGCTGTTCTATTTCCTTGCCAAATCGTAGACGATGGATTTTGGGTAGTCGACTTCCATCTTTCTGAGAACCGAAACAGTTGGATACGACGCTGTTTGGGTTGGGGTGCATGAAACCCAAAAGTCAACCAGCAACTCCGCTCCATGTCGTCACTGCCGTCGGAGGTCTTCGGATGTTCCAAGAAACACCAACGATCTTAGTTCTTGGTGCTCGTTAAGTTGACCGAAATGGTTGACCCGAGGAACTCATCCGAGCGCAGTCATGCCGATGGAGCATGATTCAGAAGAGAGTTGAGAGTTGGATCGTTGATGCGAGCAACACACATGCTTCTTCTTTCTGCCACCCCCCACAAGCACGTCCTTCCGCAGCTGTGTTCATCAGGAGCTGCCCCTGCATCATCAGATGCTAAAGCTGATGGGATCGATGTGCGGGAGTAGCTCTTGGTTTAGCATCATCCGATCGATGTTAAGAACGAGTGTGTGAAAGATGTATGAGTTTGCAAAACGACATGTCATCTGCCCTTTTGATTCTTTGAAGATGAGAGATTCGATCCCAAAATCTTCTATCGGCTAAAGTAACTGATATCGATTAGGTTATGAATAGCTGGGAGTCACAATGAATGCATCGTTGATGCACCATATCTCTGCATACACTAAAATAAATCATTTTTTAGAATTAAAAAAAGAATAATAATGCAACTCAGATGCAATCCATTAAAGAAAAAAATAAGTAATATATATATATATATACACATATATATAAATATAAAGAAGTGAGTGTAAATACAAAATCTTGTAAGGAATTGTTTACCAACTCTCTAGAAAACATAAGACTTCTTGTGGTAGATATTTGGGTTTGTTGATAATTTAGGAAGTCATTAATTGCATAACAAATCCTTGACTTTTTTTCTCTATCTACTTTATTCTTTTGATAGATTTATTTGTTTAATAAATTGAAATGGAAAGTTTGAGAAATGTGAAGGAAGATAAGAGGCTCTCTCTCTCTCTCTCTCTCTCTCTCTCTCTCTCTCTCTCTCTCTCTCTAGTACTACTTTTTGTTTTGTTTGTAGATTAAAATTGTTTTTTTTTTTGTTCTGATTAATGTAGTTAAGTGGTAATGAAAAATCACAGGAAGTTTGGTTTGTCAGATGATAACTTAATTGAAAAAAAAAAAGGATATGGAGGATGAATGTTATAAAAATGATAAGAGACGCGCCAGGTAGGGGTCGAACCTACGACTTTCTGCTTAGGAAACAGACGCTCTATCCACTGAGCTACAGGCGCTGCACATTCTGTTGGTATCTACTGCTCTATTTTATTTACTATTCTTTATATCTGATGATTGCACACACAAATGAGCAGTCGACGTTTACAATATAATTCGAACTCCTGTACCCGTGCATGCATGCATGCATGCGCGTATCACGTGTTATCATCGAGTTGTCTCCTCGCGGAAGTCCGCATGAAAATATGAGCTTGATGGATGACCAATTTTCCGATGCCAACCTTGTTGTTACCAAAACAATTAAAATCTATATTGGAAATTAAATCATGCTGATCGAACAGATATAGACTTTGCAATTACGGTTCCGTAAAGAAAATTAGATAAAACACTTGAGCAAATTAAATTGGATCAACACTCCATTGAGCCACAATTCTTCCTTCGAAAAAAAAAAAAAGCCATTGAGCCACATATCTTTACACCTCTCTCTCTCTCTCTCTCTCCCTCTGGCTTTGCAAAGTTCTAAATTTGCAAGTACAACTGGTTTCACGTATAAAATTTACCTTTCAAGAATTTTTGTACTTTGCAAAGGCTCCTCCCAAGAGATCGCACCCAGCTGCTGCTATATTTAAATCTGTCCCACCAGAACTTACTGCATATAACACCTAATTTTCCTGCCTGAGCCTTTTATGATCCCTCTCGCCACGTTCCAATCTACGCATGTCTTCGCGAGTCTCCTGGCGCTTTGAAGGCACATGATAATGTGGGAGGTCATACCCATTCTTCGCACTGAAATGCTTCCCTGGGGAGCTAACTGCTTTTCTTTTCTTGTTGCTAGACTCAGGTGAATGGATACCCTGACTATCCACTGATAGCTCCCCTTCTTCAGCATTCTCTGTCGCCTTCTGAGACCCGTGGTAGCCAATCTCCATGACATGGTCAGAACTAAGAGACTCCTGTCGGTAAGTAGGTTTGGACCAGCTTCGACCCGTCTGTTTGTTTCTCTCGTCCTCAACTGCTAATTCAACACCGTGTTCCAACTCCCTCTCGATGAGGTCATCATCATCCATCAGATCCACTTTTTTGGCATTATCAGCTCGAGATTTTCTTCTTTTCTCCAATGCAGCCTTCACTTTGTCCTTGTCAATCTTCTTCATGGCATCAACCATGGGAGAGTCAACTTTAGAACCTTCAATGTAGATGGAATTCTTCTCTCTTGTTTCAACCATCCCCTCTGTACCATCAGATACAAGCTCTTCCCCTGGTTGTTCAGGCCTATGATGGAATGTACTGCCCATAGTATCTGGATTGCTCAGTGGCTCATGATGCCAGTGATCCTTGACTCCAACTCCAACTTTGTTATCAGAAACTACAGCTCTTGGTCCGTGCCTAGTGTGGTCATTAGCATCCGTATGCACAACACTGCTGCTTCCACTATGCTTATCTGAGTGAGGTTGTTCAGACAGAGAATGAGTTGAACTACTCTGCATGGTAGCATTTTTTGACACATAGGAATATCCACTTTGTGTGGTAGGCTCCTCAACGTCAACAGGAGTGTTTGCAGGAGCACGGTGGCTGACCCCACTGGCTGAACTACCTTCGGTTTCATTTCCTTGGGAAGACAGTGCTGGACGGTTTTGCTCATAAAGTTCCAACATTTGATTGCTAATCTCTGAAAGAAGAGAATTTTTTGTAGTTAATAAAATAACTGAGAAAATAAATAAATAGAAGAAATTCAGGTATAATATTAATTCATCTTGGTAGACAATGCACATGAGGAATGAAAAAGACATCTGGAAATTGCGAGTTCACTTGAACATTTTTACAATCTAAAATAAAACAATATAGGAAACAAAGAGGAAATGACCAAAAGTTCAACCATTCAACGAACAACAAAGTAAAAGATGTACCACCTGCTCAAGAAAAGAGAAAGCATGATGACAGTCAGGACAGAAGACAATCGTCTTACGAAAACTTGACTCATCTACGACTAAGCAGCTTACTTTGTGTGTTTATCCAGGTGGTGTTTGAATGTGTTGCTACTCCATCCACACACTGTCCCATTTGTAGGTTAAAAATAATAAAGCTAAAACATTAAATTCAGCTGAAGAAAAATGAAAAGAAGATTTCTAGTACCAATTAAAGATTACATGGTATCTTCAAAGAATTATGCTTTAAAAATAACATATTTTAGCAGACATGAGCAGACCAAATTAACCACACTTCAGATTAATGTATTGCCTACACACGTCACATTGTAAACTGCATTAAAGCAAACTGATTCCAAGCTGCTCTAATACTCAACAAATAAAAAAATCTCGAATACTCTAATAGCAAACAGTAAAATGTGTTCTTGGACATGAATTAATTAGCCTAGTAATGCCTTCAAACATCTTGATGAAGGCAATGCTAAACCCAGATCTCATCCCAGAATTCAGAGAAAGAATGGAAATATGCAATGGAGATGGGCTAGGCTAAACAGAGAAAGTTTAGAGCATACCTTCCAACTGTCGAGGGGTAACATCAAATTCCTGCCACCAGACCTTTTCACCATCTGAAGGAAGCTTTACTTTTAGAAACTTGGCTGCCAGGAAAATAGCACCAGCTGCTATATGGTGGGACTTAAATTGCAGACATAGCGAAGTACGGAGCCTGCATACCCCCTTCCAGTGTGTAATGAAGACACATAATCGAAATTAAAACTGGAAAGCCAAAAAATGGCAGGATTTTTTTGACATACCCATCATTGACAAAATTCCAAGCAACTTGTGCAAGGGCATTTTGAGCAATTTTAAACTTCTTTATTGCTTCAACAAGAGGTTTGTATGGATGCTGCACATTGAGGTCAAAACCAAGAGTTGCAAGTACCAATCGTTCCCCGAGTAAAATCAATTCTTTCTGCTGTTCATATACTTCCTGAAAGCAATGACATTGAATATAGTTGGCAGTTACAAACCATCACGAATATCCTCATAAAACTAAAAAGAAGATGATTGGCATATACATATCAAGTGTTGACTACGAAATTTCTGCCCATTTAGGTGGCACCAAGAGTACAATCATGGCAGAAAACAATGAGAACATACAAATTCAACCGGCTTTGTAAAAAATCCTTGAAATTTTGCACAAGACATACGGTACATGAATGAGCAATTACCAAAAATTATGACAAGGACAGAAACTTCACTAGTATACTATTTTTGAACATCTCACTAACAGATTACCATATTGCATGACCCTTTTGATGCTTGACTCTATATATAGACACCATCTGGTGCTCATGCAGTAATATACTAATTTTCAAACATGGTGGAGGAGTGTTTCTTTCCACAACCAGTACCAGATAGTGTATACCATCAGTATGCTGGTATCATACCAGTCCCACCGAGGTTGAGGCAATTACTAGCACCAAGATTCAAATAATTGCATAATATCATTTTTAAAGGAAGGTATAGAGGCATTTCCAAGGAAAAGGTATAGACAACATATCTAAAACCACCATAAATAAACAAACAAAGTCAGAAGACTGAGATGGAATGATATTTAACTACTATTAGTCACATGTCTTACCCTCTGTTTAATTCGTTGGACTGCAGTAGGATCCTTTTTATGTATAATCTCATAAGAAACAAGAATGACATCCTTCAATGGCCGAGGAGTTTCTTCTACTTTTCCCGCCAAAAACATGCAAACAGTAGCAATAGTCTGCAGAAGACCATGAGCATGAAAGATTAAGCATCATGAAAGACGATGACCCAAAAAAATAAAAAGATCACACAAATTAAGAACCATTCCAGGGACAAAAGACAAGTGTCTATCCAACAGAATGCAAAAAAAAAAAAAGCATCTCAAAACTACCAACTGGAGAAACAAAATAACAAAATTACATTTTTATACCAATGAATCACCTTTTTATTGCAAGCCCTCATGCCATATGGCAACTAGCACAGCAATTACCACACTGGCTTGCATTGATACATTGTTGCTCTCTCTCTCCCCCCCCCCACCCCCCACCCCTTTTTCTCCTTTCCCTCCCTCCCTCTTCTAAAAATATGAAAGAAACAATATCTGCATCTTCTGATTTAAGTAATCTTTAAGGAACAGTATCCAATTTGCTCATATCTTATCCATGTAAATACCACATATCATTTATAAGTAATTTGCCAACTACAAAGCATCGCACCTTACCATGGGAGATTGCATTAAAAATATGGAACAAAAATGCTATTCAATGAAGTCACCGGGTGCTCGCCTAGGCACCATGAGGCAAGGCGAGGCCCGAGCACCCAAAAACTGGTCCACACAAGTGCAGAAGCACCTTCGGCTAGGCATGGCCCATGCACATCACTAGGGGCTCAAGTGAGGTGAGGTGAGGCCCAAGCACATGGAAACTAGTCCAGACAAGCACCTTCGGCTGGGTGTGGCCTAGGTGTTGGTCGGGCCAAGCACCCACCTCATTCAAATCAGGTTTGGGTTGAGCTCAATTAACATGCCTCATTTGAAGTAGATCTGTGTTGAGCTCAATTATCTTTGAACCGGTTCGATTGAACCAGATCAAACAGTCCTCCACACCCTGGCCCCCAACCAACACACCCATGAGCCATAATTGCAACAGTGCCTTCCTCTCCAACAAATGGTTGCGGCCTTCTTCTCCAGCAAATGGTTGCAGCATTTTCGTTGACGAACGACGACTGTGGCATCTTCCTCTCCATCAAGGAACAATGGCCGTGGTGACGCCCTCCTCCAATGAGCTCTTCCTTTATATCTCTCTCCTCCTCTTCCTCCTTTGTTGTTCTACACTTCCTAGACCCCAACAACACCCCTTTCCCTCCTCTGCCACAGTCAGCAGCGTCTCCCCCCCCCCCCTCCTCCCTTCCTCATCGCAACCCCCCAAGCTGTCGTCTTCCCCTCCCTTTTCCCCTTTCGTCATAGCCCCTCATAAAGACGTCCGCCAGTGTCTTCCCCTCCCTCTTTTCCCCTCCAAACCAACAGCAACGCACAGCCACCCAATGTCCCAACCAACAACAACCTTGTCTCAAACGTCCCTCCTTTCTCTTCCACTCCCAACCGATAGCAACCCACAACCACCTAACTAACAATGTAATTTGGTAATTTAAATGAATAAAATTTTGATGCGTGATTTTTATTTTAGTAATTATATTTATCATGCATGATATATATTTTTAAAATTTTAATATTTGGGAGTATCTCGCTTTGCTTGGTGCCTAGGCAAGTGACTAGCGCCTCGGGCATCTTGGCACCAGTGCCTTTGACTACAATGATGCTATTATCACTAATTATTAAAATGTCAATGCCAAGCTAGACATCTCTATGAGACTTCAACATGGACACAATCCATTCACTGACAACATTCACCATTACAATATACAATAGCTCTAGAAAAAAATATTTGACTAACTTCCTACATTCCTTTCTGACACAAATAGAGTGGATGATGAAGTAGCAAGCAAAAAAAATTACTCTATTATATACCATTAATGTCTGTGCACTGGAAACTTTCACCATCATCACACAATTGAACAGCTTCTCTAGGAAGAAAATTTTATTTGATTGAATTCCTTAAAAAAAAGTGATAATAGTTTTGCATCTAAAAAAGGCATTTAAAGGGCTGCACAATCCAAATTTGAGATCGCATACTGCAAATAAGCATAAAATGTTCATTAATCAATTAAATTGTTTCTACAGTCCTACCACGAACGAAAAAAAATTCTGTCTGCCAGGGAGTTATACTTACTCTCCGGTCATTTTTTGCATGAGATTGGCGAAGAAAAAACCGGTGACTGAATACAATTGCAGTGGCTATTGTTACTTGAGGTCTGCACCAAGAAAGTTTTGAGGTCAAATCTCAATTCTAGCTACAAACACTAGACAGAAAACTACTGCAACAATAGCCACAGAAACTTATAACAAAGAGAGCATAAGACCAGAATAAGAAACATGTACAATGAACAAGAAGCCATTGTTCTCAACTGCATATGATCAGTTACATGGATCCTCTTCTGATTTGAGTAGTTTATGCATCTCATTTACCAAATTCGTTGTTTAATCTCACAATTCTATTATCTCCCTTTTCCCTGTTTACAACTATATTAAATTATAACATGTCACTTTTACAATTGCTATCATTTAAATTTTATCACAGCACCTCATATATACCCCACTATACAACCACAAATGATCTCTCGCACCATATATTACACCTATGCACTTGTATCTCTTGTTACCAATTTTTCTCAAGGCTTTCATCTAGGTTTCTTTAGAGCACAACCATCACCGTGTGAGACTAGTAAGATAACTTGTTTGTTCAAGCTTGTTGTCGTGGAAAATCATACCACTACAATATTATCAAGCAGAATTCAACATATTCAGGCCACCTAGACTTCCCTAGGTCATTCAGGCAAAGATTGACCTTGGTCAACCCTTAATAGGGTTAAAACAACCCCTTTGAGAGCCTATACAATTCCTAAGGAAACTAGGATAGCAGGTTTTAACCAAAACTTAGGAGCCTGTTAATTGGAGGAAAAAAACAACAATCCAAATTTGAAAATTAGGAGCCTGCACTTTGATTAAAGTAGGAGTCCCTCATTCCATCCAAAAGCTACTCCAATGCAAAATGGGAAGAAAATTTCGAGAAGCATCGTCAAGCCAACTTCATGAGAGAATAGGATAGATTTTACTAATTTTAGTAATTCAGACTGATTTTCACTTATCTATTTCAGGAAGTCTTTAGAGTCCTTTATTTTTAAGTATATTTGATGTCTATGAGCCTCAAAATGGATCCAATATAGATTAGATAAGCTATTTACAGATAATGGGTTTTTGTAAGCTGATGAGATTATCTATTCTGCTAGATGACTGTAATCTACTGAGATAAATTTATTATATTTTGTGTCTCAGTATTCTAATCGATAGCTCTGGGAGGTTTCTTCTATTTATTGAACTAGAGAAGCAATTAACTACTCTTAATCCACTTCATTCTATGAGTTATCAAATATTGGAATATAAAAGCTCATACCCTTTTCACCAATGTTTATTTTACTTTACAATGAAGTCATAACATGATACTGTTAGTTGGTTACCAGTGTCAAATCAAGGTCTCAAAATATGTACCTTCCCCTTGGCATATACATTAGCCTCAAAAGGTATTTGCATGCTTTTAGTTCAGATTATATCATCTGAAATATCTAGAAAAATGAGCAGCATTTACAACAAGAATCATAATGCTTCCATCAGCATGTAGAACCATTATATCAGAGTTTAAGAAACATACCCACCAAAAACAGAGCAACAGAATAACTGGTAAATGAAGAAAGATCTTGTTCCATTATATCAAGTAGATTCAATTTAATTGAGGCATAACTTGAATTGTAATTACATAAATAAGAGAACTTACACTTTCAGTCTCATGCCTAAATCTTGCAGAAATGTGCAGTAAGACTTTCGAAGATAAGTTTCTTTCTTGAGATCAGTGCCATCTCTCCTAGACGGAGAGTTGTCTTCAATATCCTTACGACTTAGATACCAAGAAGCTCCAGGCAGTTTAACTTCCTCATCCCTGTCATATGAGAACGTCCTTGGGCTATCTCCAGCCATATGATTATAGTTCGAACTATGTTACTCTAAGTTGATCTGCTTCCGGATTTAGTAACAGCAAAATCCTGGACAAAACAGTCAGACACATAGACATCTTAATAGGGATTTTGTTTTCTTTTAGCAGGGAGCTAATATGATTAAGCACTTATCAATGAATTTAAAGATGCCACAATATTTCCATCTGTGCAGAAGGTTAAGGAGCAATAAGTGCACGAGTTTCCATGTCATGTGAATTTTCCATTGCAAGTGCATGATTGTTTACGACACTGTTAACCCAATATGAACAATTTTACTGATCCTGACAGTATTATCCCTCCCCAAACCCGTTAGACATCTCGAAAACCATCAGAATATCTAGTGACCGCCTTAAAGAGTATAACTAACTCCTATGGCAATGGCCTGGGAAAATGGTGCAGCATACTGTATGTATGAGAGCCACATGCAGAAGAAGATGATGAAGAAAAAATGATGAAATATCAAGATTCAAAAGAAGTAATATATCTTTGTGCATTGATCAATTAGAAAAATGAAGAACGGAATGCTATTCAATTTTCAATGCAGTTCATTAATTCATCCACGTTATGTTGTTCAACCATAGGAGACCGGATGGATAGTCGCTTCATTGAGTCAATTGATTTGCTATCGAACAATACTTTTTTCATGCAATAATATATTCCTTAAACAAAAGCAACCAATACTGTGTCTACTAAATGTCCTCGGTTAATTTCTAAATCAATCATAACACAACCACGATTCTGAAGACCAGGAAATCCAATCTGTACCTAAAACTTAAAGATAATATTCCGATCAATTTCAGGAGAGACGGCCTAAAAATCCCACTAAGAGACACTCAATTACTATGTGGTGCTAACAACATACGATTCAATAGCGTTCAAGATCTAACCCTAACCATAATCTCAATGCAACAGGCAATCGACGCACAGGAATAGGCACCGAGCCTATAAACGCCACACAGATACCTAGATATTCATCGTAAGAGAGACTAAATTACTATGTTGTGCTAAAAACACACGATTAAAGAGCGTTAAAGATCTAACCCAAACAATGCAACAGGCAATCGACGCTGGGGAATGGGCACCGAGCCTACAAAATGCCACCCACATACCGACATAATCGTCGTAAGAGACATTAAATTACTTTTCGGTGCTGAAAACAAACGATTCAAGAGCGTTCAAGATCTAACCCTAACCATAAGCGCAATGCAACAGGCAATCGATACACGGGAATAGACGCCGCAGATGCCTCAGAACGAAACTATTAGCAATCTAAAAACCAAATAAACGCAAAATAAATCAGAATCAGATGCAAGAACAGAGCCACCATGTGCCCTCGCGAACAATCACAAGCCGACGACATCCGCATCGAAATCCAAATAGAAGAGGGAACAAAGGAACGGGCAGGGAAGGGAGGAGGAATCGATCTTACCCGTGGCGCAGGAACTCGAATCGCGCGCCTCCGATGCCGATCGTCTCCGTCGAGCGAGCGGAGGTTCCCTCGAGCGCCCTCTTCTCCCACGCTTTCTATCCGCGCTCAGTAGATTAGGGTTGGGCTATAAAACGGGGCGTATAGGGTTTACGGAAATCGGAATCGGAATAGGAATCGGATTCGGATTCGGATTCGGTATCCTCACGGATGACCCGGTAAAATATAAGAGGCATTGGAGAGATTTACCGCATTCTTTTCTGTGTCTCCGCCTAAAAGTGCTATCGGGTCGATTCAATTTGGTAACGGGTCTCGAATCCGAAAAGTTTCATGGATCTGAATGGTGGTGCACACTGCAAATCAAATTATCCACAAGGTTAACGGATCCAAAATTAGGATTTACACGTAAAATTATGGGTCAAAATTTGGTCATTGATAAAGTTAGCAGTAATATCAGAGTGGCTTTGACGATGTGTGTTTAGTGCACATAATCTTAACATAAATACATATACATTAAAATAAGTTAATTACATATTATATAGGTAATTAATTATCTTTAATATCATTATTTTTATAATTTTAAAAATTATATTAGGATATTTATTCTTATCAAAATAAAATATTTAATCTCAATTTTTTTCACGTCGTATCATTAAACATACGTGGACTTTATCTTATTTCGATTTATCATTGAACACATGTGGTATTTTCATAAGTAAAATCGATGACGTAAAGAAAATAAAATTAAATATTTTACCTTTTATAAGTATATGAATCTCAATATAATTTTTAAAAATATAAAAATATTAAAAATAACTAATTATAAGAAATAATATATAATTAGTTAAAAATATATCAAATTATCTTTTAATTAATATATATATATATATATATGATTTCTTTTTTCTTGATATGGACTTGAATTTATTGGGTTTATATTTGAAGTATCATCACAACACTATATGGGTTGGATTGAAGAGGACAAAAGATCATGGATGTCTGTCCTTGTTTGCTTTATCACAAAAGAATGAAGGCTCAATTAATTTATACTGCAATGAGCTGCAAAGTGCAAAAGATATGCAGCAAAGCTGTTCTTTATGTATTTGCCAAAAATATGAACTCCACCCCAGAAAAAAAAAATGAAATCATTGAGATCAACAACTGAAGCAGATTTCCCTAGTGATCATTCTCATAATGATTGATGCAACTCCAATCAGTAGAATCTTGTCAGCCAATTATATATATATATAAGTTAAATCATCAAGTTTTATTCGGTTAAATTTGAGGAAAACTATAGATTTTAAAAAAGTCCCACTAAAATAAGATTTGTCAGATTAATATAAAAAATAGTAAGGTCAATAAACTTAGGATATACAGTAAATTTTCTTCTTTCTTTACTTCTTTTGTTTTTCTATTTGACTTTGTTATTTTATTTTGTTTACTTCTTCATTTATCCCTCCCTTCTTTGTTGCATTTTGATTTTGGTATCGGAAACGGAATATGGCTTTTCCCCTTCAAATGAATGAAAAACTCTTTAAAAGTAAGTATTTATTTAACCTAATATTGTATGCTAATGTTCAATAGAGAATTAAACTATTAACCTATTTTTGTGTATTTTCTACTTTTCCTTTCTTCACACACGCATGTACATACACACCAAGTGCATATTTATCTTGCATATATCTCTTTAAACCCAAATTATCATTCTCATAATATATATATATATATATATATATATATATATATATATATATATATATA